GAAGTATATGAAGTGTATGTCACAAATTTATTCTGTAACAAATTCCTTTCTTGTCAGAATTTTGAGCAGTAGCTGAATTAACCTTGAAGCAATTTACACCAAGATATTTAAGTTCTATTTCACTTTCCAGGTCACCCCGATGTTCTACACGCATAAGCTGAGGTCTTTTAATAGCTTTATGGGAAAGTGCCACAAATGAATAAAGTTTAGCTGTACTATATTCAAGTTGTTCAGAAAAATGGTCAAATCAAATCTTTTGCATCTCAATTTCTTGACTTTCTTTGACTCCTGTTAACCTATACAGCACTGTAGTATTCAGAGTACTACAATGTTTAACATTAAGTGTAAATATAACATTTGACATATCACATTCCAAAAATGTAAATAGTGTGATCCAATGTATTCTACTTTCTTTAATACCTACAACAAAATACTTTCATATGCTACATTGTGCTTAGAGTTGTCTCTGCAGGCAGCTATCCAACTCCATGATAGGAAATTATGTCTCAATCAAACTACATATTGTATTAAAGTTTTCAGCCTCTCAAAAGGGTGTGAAATTTTGTGATTATTTCATCCTCCTCAAATGTTCAAAAATAAATGTTCTCACTATATATCACATAATTAGAAAATGTTTATGTACATATTGCTATTCTGTTAATAAAATCCTTAAAATTGTACCGTTGCAGTAGAAAGTGCATTCACTTGATCAGAGAGGCTAAGAGGCACAAAGCTGAGTGTAGAGTAAAAAATGACTCAGTAAATGGCTCTGTAGGCAATCTTTGAAGAAATATAAGCCCCCAATGATTAGAGAAAAATAATATATAAATAGCAAATGCCAGTTTACCTTGGGTAGATGCAACTGAAGCAATAGCATTACAGGTAGTCCTTGACTTACAACCTTTCATTTAGTGACCATTCGAAGTTACAACAACACTGAAAAAAGTGACTTAAGAGCATTTTTCACTTATGACACTTTCAGCATCCCCATGGTCATGTGATCAAAATTAGGACGCTTAGCAATTGGCTCATATTTATGACCAATGCAGCGTTCTGGGGTCATTTTGTGATCTTCTGGCAAACAAAGTTAATGGGGAAGCCAGATTCATTTTACAACCCTGTTGCTAACTTAATAACTGTGGCAAGAAAGGTCATAAAATGGGGCAAAACTCCCTTAACAATTGTCTCGCTTAACCACAGAAATGTTGAACTCAGTTGTGGTTGCTACGTCAAGGACTACCTATACGCTCACCTTACTGATCCTATGTCCCTCTATTGTATATTCAATTGGAAACTGTGGATTAAAAAAATATGGCATTATTTAAATAATATAAATTTAAATAATTGATATATTTGTCTCTAATTTGCAGTTTGCTTAGGAGACTAAAATCATAGATTCCCTTCATTTCAAAACAATAAACTAATATGTGTTTTTTGGGGGGGAGGCAACATTGATTTTTTTTAAAAAAAGACAGGTAAGCACTTCAGAACTATAACCCAAAAAATGCTTTCCAAACCAATCCAAATTATTCATGAGAAGTCTCTTTAGGATTTGATAAAACCACCTATTTTATTTTCATTTTAATGACTTTTTAATGCAGTGATATAAAGCAGTATTTTGGATTCAAAGAGAAGCTATTTAGGGACATGGCAAAGTATATCTTTTTTTGGAATCAGTCTGCAGATTTGGAGTGGTATGATTTCTCTCTGTGTGAACAGTAGTTGCTATAAGAATTGTGGACAATTCTAGATGCTCCCAAGCATCTTTTTGCCATTGAATCCAAGGAGCTATGAGGTTTAGCACACAGCATATTAATTGAAGAAAGCAGTTCAGTTGCTTTAACTCCACTATTTAATTACGCTAAAAATACATTTAACACGCTAATAATAATTGGAATCAATTCAACCTTCAAATCTTGTGGCTTTTCCACAATATCTGAGTTGAGCTGGCTTTAGAAAAGCCTACATTATTAAGGTTGAAACAGGCCATAGCTTTGATATGCAGCACAAAAATCTAAGCTACAAGCTGGAGCTCAAGGCATATTTAAAGATCCTTCTGAGTGATCTGGTATTTTGGCAGCATTTTTTATGTTAACCAGATTGTGTATGCTGACTTCATCAAACATAGATAGGAAATCAAATGCCTGTTCCTTTGCAAGGATGCCTTTTACTCTTACTTGCTTTAACAATGTGAGCCAGTTGCTCATACCCTTCTCCTTTGCCCTATTGATTGATTGATTGATTGATTGATTGATTGATTGAATTTGTATACCGCCCTTCTCCCAAAAAGGACTCAGGGCGGTGGACAGCCAAAATTAAAATACATACAATACAAAAGTTAAGATAGCTAAAATAAATTAAATCAATCGGCCTCCCCAATTTAAAACCCTAAGTCTATAAAATTAAAAATTCCCATTAAAAAACCATTTAGGCTAGGCCTGCTAAAATAAATAAGTCTTCAGGGCCTTACGGAAAGTACGGAGGTCTGGGATCAGTCGTATTCCAGGAAGTAGCTCATTCCACAGGGCGAATGCCCCCACAGAGAAGGCTCTCCCCCTGGGGGCCACCAGCCGACATTGCTTGACCAACAGCACCCTGAGGAGGCCATCTCTGTGAGGCTCAAGGAGTTTGAGTTTGAACAATGTCCTGCACTCCTTCAGGTTTGTTTTATTCATTGTAAAGACAAAGGAAAGCATGACCAGACTGTCAGATGAAACTGCAAACCTTTGGATTGCTTGCATTCAGTTCGTACAACAGTTCGTTTGTTGTCTGTTCAAAGTTACAAAGGCACTGAAAGTTACGAACTTTGCACCATCCCCATGATCATGTGATCAAAATTCAGATGCTTGGCAATTTGTTCATACTTATAATTATTGCTGCATCCCAAGGTCATGTGATCACTTTTTGCAACCTTCTGACAAGCAAAGTCAATGGGGAAGCCAGATTCACTTAACTACTGGATTACTAGTTTAACAACTGTGGGAAGAAAGGCTGTAAAATGGGGCAAAACTGACTTAACAAGTGTCTCACTTAACAGAAATTTTGGACTCAATTGTGGTCGTAAGTCAAGGACTACCTGTATTTAACTACTACTCATCTAAGGGTTGCTGATTCTACCTGTATGGCAGTGGTGGGATTCAAATTTTTTTACTACCAGTTCTGTGGGTGTGGCATGGCTTGGTGGGCATGGCTTGTTAGGTGTGGCAGGGGAAAGATACTGTAAAATCCCCATTTCCTCCTGATCAGCTGGGACTTGAGAGGCAGAGAATAGATGGGAGTGGGGCCAGTCAGAGATGGTATTTACCGGTTCTCCGAACTACTCAAAGTTTTCGCTACCGGTTCTCCAGAACTGGTCAGAGCCTCCTGAATACCTCTGCTGTATGGGGACGGGGCCTGAGATGAGATGAAAGGAAAGACAAAGCCAGCCGACCTCCAGCGCTCCTTTGCCGCAATTCCTTTTCATGCCATACTTAAGAAGGAAGCAAATTGGCTCAGCTGTCCGAGTGGAGGGAGGGGAACACAGGACGTGACACCAAATGGGGGGTCAGGTGAACCTGCCTTTTTTTGCAACAACACCTGGAGGACAATGGGGAGGAGGGAAATCTTGCAATTTCAGGGGTGGCAGCTTGCCAACAGCCTTTCATCCGAAAGCGGTTGCGCCAGTGAGCAGCTTGGCTTTATGGAAGCCAGGCTTCGCACTAAGAATATGATCCCAAAAGGTGCTTTTTTCAAGAGGCAACTGGACTTTCTGGTTTTTCTTTGAAGATGTTTTGCTTCTCATCCATTCTTCAGAGCTGAAGAAGCTTCTTGGATGAGAAGTGAAACATCTTCAAAGAAAAATGAGGATGTCGAGTTGCCTCTTAAAAAAACACCTTTGGGTCAACCATGACCTGGATGTCTGAGAAACTCCATAGACACTAGGAAGACGATTTGGGACGAATTTGGGATGAACACCCTTTGAATGGTGTGGGAATATGAACTGATTTCCAGAAAAAAAATTCAGCCTACAGGAACCATTAGCACTACTTGGGTGACCCTGAGGACACCCAAGTAGTGCTAATGGTTCCTGCAGTCTGAATTTAGTCTGATAAACCTCCAAGTGCCTCAACAACCTTCTAAAAGGATGCAAATGACCAGCTGTCATATAAATTCTTCCATTCCCCACTATCCTGTCAGAGCTGAAGAAGCTTCTTGGATGAGAAGTGAAACGAGAGAGTCCAGAGATATTTCACAAGAAGAGTCCTCCATTCCTCTGCTCGCAACAATACCTATGTCACCAAGCTTGAAATTTTGGGCTTAGACAATTTAAAACTATCAGTCTGACCAAAGCATAGTACATAAAATTATCTGCTACAATGTCCTACCAGTCAATGACTACTTCAGCTTCAACCACAACAATACACAAGCACAAATAGATACAAACTTAAGGTAAACCGCTCCAAACTCGATTGCAGAAAATACGACTTCAGCAACAGAGTGGTCAATACCTGGAATGCACCCCCTGACTCTGTGGTTACTTCCTCAAACTCCCCAAACTTTAACCTTAGACTGTCTACTGTTGACCTCACCCCATTCCCAAGAGGTCTGTAAGGGGTGTGCATAAGCCTGTCCTAATGTCCCCATTTATTCATATCCCATGTCTTCATAATCACGTTTATACTTATATCTGTTATCTTATACAGCTTGACAAAAATAAATTAATTAATTAATTAATACAAATAAATTAATAAATAAAAATAAAAAAATAAAAAAATAAGATAGATAGATAGATAGATAGATAGATAGATAGATAGATAGATAGATAGATAGATAGATAGATAGATACATTACATACATACATACATACATACATACATACATACATACATACATACCAGAAAGTCGGGTTCTTGCCTGGTTCTTGACAACCACGACCTGGATGGCTGAAAATCTCTCTAGACTAAGAAGACGATATACCTTTACTGCATCAGAACTGAGGAACAGCTTGTCCGGGTTTGCAAATGTCTTAAGGAAATCGCAGAGGTTGCAGTGAGGAAAACGCAGCACGAAACCTGCCCTCTTTCGTCAAAACCGAATACAACTTAGCTCTCTCCTCGCTTGCTTTTTCTCCCTCTTTGCTTTTTCCCCCGCCCGGCCCTGCCTCCACTGTCGCCCTCTGACGTTTTGGCTTCGGCTGGCTCCCAAGGAAAGTTGGCTAAGGCTGTGCCTGGAGGTTGCCGTGGAGACGAAGAGTTGCATCGGCTTTTCCTGGAGAGCTGAGCTTCCTCCAGAAAGATAAAGAGTTTCGGTCTTTTCCTTTGCCCGCCATTGCCCTTCCCTACGCCGCCCCTTCCCGGCGTTGAGCGACCGAAAGCGCTTCAAGAGAACAGCTCGCTTCTTGCGGTTAATCGTGAGACAAGCCTGCTGCTTCTGCTCTCGGTAAGAACTCATTGACGTCCGTGCCGAGAAAGTTGTGTTGTTAGCAACTGCTTGCAAAATGAACCCTCTTCTGAATCCATTTGCTCGTGCTGGGTTTAAACAACCCCGCTCCTCCATCACCCGTGATTAACAAACCTCAAACAAACCGCAAGGGGAAAAAACGGAGGGTGCAAAATGCGCACGGTTTACCACAGATAAAAGCATAAACCATTTTAAAGACTGAAGGGACTGGCCCGGGGTTTTAGCTTAAAGGCCAAGGGTCGTGCATTTTTTTGCATCTCTGGGAGCCCAGCTTTCTAGTGATTGTGTTGCAGTGATTCAATCTGTTTCTTGTAACCTTTTTTTTTCCCCCTGCAAGAGAGTTTAAAAATATAATCTGTGTACACGCACGGATCTCTTCTTTGGGTTTCGACTGGGCTGAAGTACTTGGGAATGAAATAAGAAACGGTCTGATTCCAGGATCAATCCTGATGGAAAGATTTAAAAATGCATCATCATTTAACTACATTGGTATTAATTTATTGCTTTAAATTAGCCTCATTTGACTTGCAAACCTTTCCTTAGTTAAAAGACATACTCATTTTGTTTGGTAGAGGATCAGCAGAAATGGACCTGAATTACATTTTGAAAAAAAATTGCAACAGCAGGGTAGTATAAAATACCAGTACACTTGGACCAGGCTTTTACAATTACACTTGGACCAGGCTTTTAAATACTTGCTGACTTAAAACATAATTACATGAATGATGGTGAGCAAATACACTGGCTTGACTTCTTAAAATACCAACAAGTTTAAAGTGAATAATCTTGCATTATTTTTAGTAAAATGAAAGATTTTTGATAGGGTTATTGGCTTTTAACATAACATCTATTAAGGCAGGACGTAAAGTGAAATTTGGTTATAAGAGTGAAATAATACCGAGTCAGCCTAGAGGATCTCTGAAGGACCCCTGTGACTTGAGAAAGTTGCAGAGTTCAAAAAGTTAAACTGCAGAATTAACACACTTTCTACAGTTGGAGAGTTCAAGAAGTCAAACCGCAGAGGTACTATGTTAAAATGCAGAACTAACCCACATGGATCTTCCTGCCTAAAGCAACAGGGGAGGGGGGAGCTAACTAAAGAGGCAGATCTAAGATACTTCCTGTTTTTTGTTCTATAAAGATATGTGTCTTAAAGAAGGACTTTTGTTCAGGATGTAAAACAGAATGCGTGTCTGAACCTTTTGGCCAAAATAAAAAAGCTATTTCTGATCTCGAAATTCATCTCCGTTGTTTTTCTGCAACACTATAGTAAAAATATCCAGAATAAAAATTGTGAGCATTTGTATTTGTCCACTTAAAGCAACAACTATATTCTCCTGTGCTTACTTACCAAGGAGAAAACCTATGGAACTCATTGGAAATTTCTTCTGAATATATGTATATGTATATAATTTTTCTCTGTTTATTCAGTTTATATTACCATTTCCTTTTAAAGGGTACCATATCAAATATTCCAAAGGGACATTTGTAAATTTATTACATAATGAAACCATTTCTGCAAAGCTGCTAGTGATTGGACCTGATTGGAGCAGTGGTGAAATCCAATTTTTTTTACTACCGGTTCTGTGGGCCTGGCTTGGTGGGTGTGGTGTGGCTTAGTGGGCGTGGCTTGGTGGGCATGGCAGGGGAAGGATACTGCAAATCTCCATTCCCTCCCCACTCCTGGGGGAAGGATATTGCAAAATCTCCATTCCACCCCACTCTGGGGCCAACCAGAGGTGGTATTTGCCAGTTCTCCGAACTATTCAAATTTCCACTACCGGTTCTCCAGAACCTGTTAGAACCTGCTGGATTTCACCCCTGGATTGGAGATGAAGAGTGACAAATTGGAACCTGGCACATCCATAATCAGTTCCTTATTTGGCCAAAAAAGTCAGGTGATAGTCTTGAGTCAGTCATTTAGCACAATCTCCCCATCCAAAAAAGCGACCATGGCATTATTTTTAAAAAATTCTAAATTTGGGGTGGATTAAAACTTCAATTTGAAAATGTACATTTTATAAAATGGGGAAAACTCCCTTCTGATTTTATTTTTTATTATTTTAATTATTTTGTGAATAATGGCTTTCCAGTAATAACTTTTATTGATGAAAGGATTTTTTTGATTGTTGAATAAACTTTTCCCCTCCTGTCAATCTTGTCCAAGTCTCAAAGATTGCCTGGACAAGACCCTGCAGTGTTCTTGACAAGATTTTTCAGAAGCTGTTTGCTTGAGAGGAAGTGATTGGCTCAAAGTCATCCACTTGCCTTTGTGTCCAGGATGGGACTAGAACTTACAGTCTTCTGATTTCTAACTCGATGCCTTAACCACTAACCAACTGGTTCTTATTGAGTATATTCCTAGTATATTGTGTATACCACTGTATAGATGGTGACATGTGCGTAACTGTATGTTGAACTGCCAAAGTAATGTAGAGATCCTACTAAATTATATAGAATAGCTTGAGGAAACTTTGGTAAAACTAGGTTTTTGTGAAATGTTGGACAAAATGTTCCAAAACTGACTGAAAATGTCTTTAGCAGTGACAGGGATGGTTGCATATGGGCATGAGTATTGGGGTTTTTTTTTTTGTTTTTTTTTTGCTTTAATTTATATGCCGCCCTTCTCCGGAGACTCAGGGCGGCTTACAATGTGTTAAGCAATAGTTGTATGCCAAGGTGGTGGTTGCAACTGTGCAATGAAAATCCTGCCCCCTTTTTACAAGAATAAGGATGTATGTAAAAATGTATGGTTATTATCATATGATTGTGGTCATCCTCCTGACTTTTGACTCCCCCCCCAAATTCCTGATTCTGAATGATTTTTTTTCCCGAAATTAATAGAAAAGATTTTTTTTTGATGGAGTGGCTGTACAATTTACTTAATATCTGGTAAGGATTGTAGCTTGGGCTCAAGGATTAGAAGATGATGCTGATTTTCTCATGTAGAAGGGAAAAGTAGTAAGGGTGGATGCAAAATTACATTTTATTATAAAACTCACATAACAGTAATATCATTATTTTGCTTTGACATCCTCCCCCCCTCCCCGCCCCATTTATGCTTTCCAAATAGGTAAAAATAAAGAACAATAGAGGCTAAAATTCCCTGTTGCACATCATTGGCTTATCCAGAGCATTGCATCAAAATGGCTGTTTGAGAACTCTAGAAACATTTATTTGTCCAACTTATATGCCGCCTTTCTCCGAAGACTCAAGGCAGCTAGAAAACATAGAAAACTGATGGCAGAAAAAGATTGAGCGGTCCATCAGGTCTGCCCTTTGAGGGGATTTTGGTTATTGTTTTATTTTCTTATTTCTTATTTTATTATTTAAATTTTTATCAGATGATGGACATGTGTTTATGCCAAGCATATTTAAACTCAGTTACCACTGGAAATTGGTTCCAAGCTTCCACTACTCTTTCTCTAAGTAATACTTTCTAATGTTGCTTTTCAACTTCTATCCTGTCCATGTAAGAGTTAAGTACTGTATAAAACGTTTTTTTTTTAAATCAAAAGAAATACAACTTTATAAGTTTTTTTTTTTATTTTTTTTGCTTTTAGAAATGGAAAATCCATCACTATGCATAGAATCTGAATACATCAAGAATCTTCAACAGCAAATTTATTTCCTTGAATTGGAAGCTAAGTTTCTATATCCTATGCATTTCTGAGTATGGTTAACTAAAACATGTTTAAGTCATAAAACATATGACTTAAAGAATTATAGGAGTAGGATCAGGGGTGAAATGTAAAATCTGTTACTACTGGTTCTGTGGGCGTGGCTTGGTGGGGGGGATAATGTGACAGTGGGCGTGGCCAACTTTTTTTTTTTTAACTTTTCAAAGCATTTTTTCTAATGCTTTGAAAAGCCTCTCTGCCAATCAGGAACTCAGCTGGGCTCGTCAGAGAGGCTTTTTAAAAAAAATGCCTCTCTGCCAATCAGGAAACTCAGCTGGGAACATCAGATACTTTTCAAAGCATTTTTTTTTACCATCTCTTTCGTCAAGAGGTCGCAGAAAAAAATGCTTTGAAAAGCCTCTGATGATCCCAGCTGAGCTGCGCGATCATTAGAGGCTTTTTTTAAATTATTTTTAAAAGCATTTTTTCATCGGAAGAGGTTGTAGAAAAAATGCTTTTAAAAGTTAAAAAAAAAAAGCCTCTGATAATCGTGCGGCTCAGCTGGGCATGGTGGTGGTTGGGGAGGTGCAGGATTTTTGCTACCGGTTCTCCGAATCACCCGCTGCCATCGCTACCGGATCGGGCGATCCAGTCCGAACCGGGAGCATTTCACCCCTGGGTAGGATGTTCAAAACATTATTTGTAATATTGGACTCAAATATTTTATTAATGGGAAAACCAAATGAGAATTGCTCAGCTATTTTCTATTTTAAATTTTATTTAAAGTTATTTAGTTGATATTTCATCCTTTTGCCTTAACTTTTTGTTATTACTCGTGAACAGACTAAAAAAGCAATTAATACTCAGCCTTTCCTTGCATGTGAAATGGAACATATGCTACAAAACCGACAGGTAATTTTTATCTCTGTTTGACAACCAATGGCAAAGTAATTCTTTGCATATTTATTTATACTTAGTGGGTTATTAATAGAGGAAAGTCAAAGGACTACTGTAGCTTCTTCTAGCAGTTTCAAAATGTATTTGTGAATTGAGGACTTGCTACCAGAAATAAAAACACAAGGAAAACAGGAGGCTAACTACCAACAAATACATTTGAAATATATGTACAGGTAGTGGTCAATTTATGACCAGTCACTTAGTGATCATTCAAACTTACAATGGAACTCTAAAACATACATATAACCCACTTCTGAGGTTATGACATGACCGCATTTTAGATGTTTGGCAACTGGCCCACATTTAGAGTTGTTTGCAGTGCCTTGTGATAACATGGCCACTATGATAGGTTTTTTTCTTGGAAGCTGGCATTTACATTTGGTTGTTGGAAAAAAACAACCATAGTGAATAACGAGTTTGCTTAATGACTGCTGTATGTGGTTAACAACCACCACAAAAAAGGTTGTAAAATTGAGTCTAGTTATTTGATGATCCAGGTTACGATTGTCACAACTTACAAATGGAATTGCTAGGGCCAATTAGAGTTGAAAGTCAAAGATTACCTGTATGAAAATATTTTTCAATATTACAGGAGATCTGTAATAAATCCAATTTATCAGAACATATATTTAAAATGAACTCCTTAAGATACTGAACTTCTCTGTTATTGCAGTATAACTATAGTTTTATAACTATAACTCACTGTATTTTTATTGTTTTATAGACATTACAGTGTAAGGCTGATAGCCTTGATCTGGAGCTGAAGCGAAAGAAAGATGGTTTACACATGCTGATGATGGAAAGAAATCAACTTAATAACCAAATCAGTATGGCTAATGGTAATCATTTTTTCAGCATTATCAAAATTATGTAGATTTTCCCATGGTACTATTTTTTAAATTTAATAAACATTTGGATTTTTTGTTGACTTCTAATTTCTGGGGGAGGGGGGGAAGAAAGCCTCAGAAAATTTTATTATAGTGTAATGAAATCATTTTCATTACACTACAAAAAACCCTCCAAACTCCCCTACTGAAATCACTAAATAATGCCACTGTAGATATGGAAAAAAGGTTTTGCAAATGTCCAGCTATGGTATTGTTCTTTTGCAATAATAAAGAATAAGAAACTTTACTAAAACCATCCAAGATAATTGAACCTCTAATAAATTCTAATAACTACTGTGCTTGAAAAAAAATTCTTTTCTAGATAATAGTACTGTAATAACTCTTTTCTCTGTAAAGTGTGCAGCATCGTGAATTTATCACCAAGGCATAGCCTTAGTAAAGGCATACTAAAGATTATTTTAAAGAACTACCAGTAATATTTTCAATATCTAGCATATGCTTATGCTATTTAGCAAATAGAAACAGGTATTTAAGCAGACAATAGAGCGAAACTGCAAATATAGAAGGAAAGACAGACTAGGACAGATTTTTAATTTCACTCTAAATTCATAGTATAAGATACATCATTCCAGTATTATACAGCTTATTTGAAACTGTTGCTGACAATGCCCATTTTAAAAAGCCAAATATAATTTAAGTTTAAGTTTCAGGTGACTGTTTTTTTTTTTCAAAATAGCACCTTCCTGTGGTAAATTTATATATTATTGCTTAAATAATATCTTCAGGAAATAGTAGTATGTTTTCTTTCTTACTGTCAATTAGGCAGACCAAATTCTAACAGAAAATATGAATGTGTTGAATAACTGATTATAAATTAGTCTCCAAAAGGCAGTTCAAATACAGGAAGAGGAGATGAAGAAAATATGTTTCCTTGATCTCTAAATAATATGGTCTTGTTTATTGAGTCTTTGGGTTTAGAAAAGATGGAGCCTTATTAAAGCTTTCCACTAGAGGGTGCTTAGACAGAATGAATCTAGAAACAAGTCAGGTGTTACTGACAATTATATACAGTATGTCAATTTCAGGCAAATGGAGAAAAGTAGTGTTCTAAGTAGTGGCATTGTACAGATTTGTGTTGTAAATCAGCACATGAATACTTATTTAACCATGATTTATTAACTAATCCACAATTGTCAGAACTTAGATATCACACCAAGATACAAATAGGCAAACCAAATTGTAACTTGGTATGATATATAGATACTATATAAGATAGCAGATGAATAGCAGCTCTCATTCACTAGCACATTGGCCACCAGCCCTTGCCTATTTAAAGACACCTAAAAAGAAATGGAACTAAATCACAGTTAGGGCATTCATACTACAGAGAACAAAATCTTTTATTTTGTTGATATTGTTGAGTCACCAATAGGTTCTGGCTTGTTAATACAACAAGGTTGCATCAAACAACCTTGTGGATTTCCATATTTTACCAATTATCCACAAACCAGCATGTATGAATCATTGGTTAAAACCACCACAGGTATTTTTCAGATGCTATAGGATCTTTTTTTTTTTTTTGCTGCAACAGTCTACCATATCTATCTCTATGACATCAATCAGACAAAACATCCAGCTTAGTTGTTTATTTCCCTATGAATAGATAAGATAGATAATGCACAAAATACATTATTTATTTTCCTTATTTTTCCATGGATTCCGTCTTTAATTTGTGCTAAAATTTTTGAAGTTTTGAGGTAATTTAATTTTAACCTACAACTATGTTAATCTGATCACAATCGAAGTGAGCTTTTATTAAAAGTATGAAAAGCTTTAATTATCTCACGCTGGCAAGAACTTCATTATAAATTCTACTTTCAGAGCAGCATTTAAAAGAGAAACAGGGTTTGATAGAGGAAATCAGGCAATGGAAGAGAAAGAAAGCAGAGAAGGATGAGCAAATCTCTGCAAAGCAAATTGAGATCTCGTATGCTAAGCAGGAACTGGAAGAAGAACAAATGAATCTGAAAAACAAAGAACAAACTATCCTTATGCTAAAAACAAAGGTATTGGTTATTTGATAGTTGTTTACATCCTAATATATACACAGAATTATACAACTGGAAGACTTTATATTTCATCTGTCTAATAAGTGTATGCATTCATAATGGCCATAATTGTTTCTGTACATCTGTCAAGCCCTCTGAGGCTGCCAAACTTGGGAAACAGGAACCAGTTGGATTTCTGTAAATATGTTTATTGCTAATGGACTAATGGAGTGGTAGTAGGATGGGATGCTGAGGGAGCAAGCTACACTATCTCAACAGCAATGGGCAGAGTGAGATATGGTGGGGATCTGAGGGTGGATCATACTCTCAGACACTGGGGTTGCTGTTTGTTGTTCTGCTGTCCAGTTCTTGGCTTGCTATGTGTCAGACAATCAGATCCTGGAATTCTGCTATTGTTTTTGAATACAACAAGTTGGTGTATAACAAAAGGGAAAAAAACTATTCCTTGGGTAGGATTCCTTCTATTTCATGTCATCAATGTTCAGAGGCACTTTTTGACTAGGGAAGGAACATTCCTCTAAACATTCAAGGTTCCTTTACAGTCTTCTGTCTAAGTCGACAATTGGAAGAAAAGACTTTTCTCACAAAGCCATTGAAAGCAAATTCTGACATCTGTTGTGGTCTATCATATTCTATTGTTGCCACATTTTTTCCTCCCCTGTATAAACAAGTCTATTCTTTCATTTCCCTCTGCATTACTGCAAGTTATGGAAAAACTGTTTTGAAAAATGTGACAAGAGAAGCAATACTCTTGTGAGACAGTAATGGCCTCTTGGACACTCACAATCCTTTCTCCAAATAATCATTAAGAGAGTTGTTAGTAGACAAAATCTTTTAATGCCTTGATAAATCAGATACCATACACTACATAATATGCAAGAGCTTCTAGGATCTATGGTAGTAACATATTACCTTGTTTTCTAAGCTGAACTGGACATGTAGTATCAAACATATCTCCTTGTGAGGTTTTATATAAACAAAAGAACATGATCCTGTATTTTTCTCACTCATTTTGGGGTTATCTCAGAGTTGTTATCCTGGAAAGACAGATAGCATTATGATGAAATCTTTCTAGATATTCCTGCTAAAAAGGTCCTTCCTTCCTTCCTTCTTCAGAAAAGTTATTTGTAAATATTTGAAAAACAAAAAAGCAAGAATTTCAAAGTTCTAAGTTTAGATATATGACTAATTATTCCATGAATCTTGTTCTGTGATAAAATGATCCTCAATTATTTTTGAATTACAGTTCTGTAGAATATTTACCTGCTACCACATGTTATATTTAAATCAAGGTGACGCAACAGTTGGAACGGCAAAAGGCAATGGAGTTGCAGCTTTCTGAAAAGAAAAAGGAATTTTTGGATATGCAGTCTGCTGTACATGAAATGGAAGAAAAAATCCTTAAGAAAACAGCAGCAATACATGCTCAAATTACTCGTGAATTACGGTACTAATTAATGAATTTTGGAGAAAATGAAGGCTAGGTAAAATAATACCATATTCAACCTTGCAAGTATTTATAAATGGTGTAAACCCCTACTTAAATTATTAATTTGTTATAGTATTAGTGCTGGAAGCATAGAAAAAATATTCATTAATGGTTCCTCCCAATGGATTTAGCATATTGAGTGTTTGTCTGGAGGCTTGACTAGGAAACGATGGTAAATGTTTGAAATGAAACCTTTTCAAGTAGAACTCTATAATTACAGAATTCTCTACTGAGACTATCATGCTTTACATTTTTTGTGATGGTATATATATGATTGGCAAAGGCCCTGTATTTCAAGGGAGTTCTGAATCTGATTATATTATTTTCTAATTATTAATCATCCATGAAGCTCTGTTACTTTGTTTTACTGATTTTCTTTTTGAATCTGGTGTGCCTTTTTAAATAATTTTGTTTTGCATTTTAATTATTGTGAAGTTGCTTCAGGATTCATTGACTAAAAAGTAATTATAAAATATCACTATATATATATATATATATCACCTAGCTACACATGTCATGCATTTCTGTCTTCTTCAACAATAGACAACAATTCTCATAATCAAAATTAGGAATGATGCAGAATTGTGGCCTATGGCATCAGAATGATAGCAAACTCGGGAAATTGTATTTTTTTATTAATGTAGGAATGAGACATCTTTTTTGCACCATCAAATTCATGAACGAGAGCTACTGGCAGAACAGGACCGTCTCTTACGAAGTAAAATAGCGGATGATTATGCAGCTTTGACCAAGGAAAATAATCTCTTGCAATCCAGGTTTTTGGAACTTGTCAAACAAACAAACATTGTAAGAAAATTATTAATCTCATTCACAATAAGAACATACATATCTGGTTGACAGTATGTGAGAAAATATACGGGCTTCTACTGATTTTGATTTTTTTAAAAGTGTGCCCTTTTTACCTACCATCCAGTATTCCAGTAAAAATATATTAATAAAGGCTGTTCTATTTCTTGCTACCAATAGACCATTGAATATTCATTCTCCCTTTTCCTCTCAAGGGACAAAATTTTGTATGTATTTGTACATTTTGTATGTATTTGTGTCATGCCAACGATATTAATGCTTAAATAATTCTCTTTATTATAAAAATAAAGCAAAATATAGTATTTTTAAATAAAAAGAAAACCATATGGTCAGAATGATCTAAACCCCAGGATACAAGAAGAGCTGGTTAAGAATATGAGATGACTTGTATACATTCAAAGTGGCCTTGTATGTTTTCAAAAGACAGAAATTCTATACTAGGATCACAGTGAAAAGATTATTATATAAAATGAAGAATGCTGTCTTCTGTATTAATTAGTGTTAATTAGGAATTGTTGCATAGTAAATAGAATCAAAAGATAAAGACTGGATGGGCCTGCCTAACAGAGGAACTGACTTAAAGTTATAGTTTCTCATATTCATACATTTCACTTTTAAAGAGGAAAAAATCTCATCAGTGCCTCTCCTGATAACATAATATACCACATTTTGCTCACTGTCTCACCTTTTTTTAGTCTCTTTTGGTCAGATTCTGCCACATACCTTCCTGGGCACAGTTAACAAATGTATTTATTTATTCAATTAGTATAAGTGCCCATTTCAGATCAATAAAATTAATCTCCCTGTGGATTATTTATTAACTTTTTCTATATATACCCAAACATTTCTAATCAGGGATTATTGTGCTGTTGTTGCGAATATTAAACAACTTGCATAGCCATTCTATTACAAAACCAGATCTTTATTTTTATATTTCTCCAAGTTCCTCAACTTCAGCAGCAACAACCTTGCTATTTTTTCAAAGTGGACTTTTTTCCCTACTATTTTTTCTGGGACACTAGCATTTATAACATTTATTTCATTATGTGATATTGTATTATAATTATCATGTAAATGTCTAAAATACTTCTTCCAGCATTCCCTCACTTCAGTTTCATCTTCAATTATTTCATCATGTTATTTTCAATGTCATTTACTTTACTGGAAGCTCCTTGTTTAGCCTTTCACCAGCCTCCTGGTTGTTGTTGTTTTTCATTTCCATCAAAATTACTCTGCATTTTTTTTTTTTTTTGCCTCTTCTACTCTTGAGTCTCTTTGATTACATTCTTTGAACCTATATTTTATGATTTTATAGGTTTATTCATACACATCTTCTACCAAAATGATGTTTCTCATATTTAGAATTCCCTTGCACCCTTTCGCCATGGACAAACAATTCTTTTGCCGTGTATATATATATATATATATGCATGAATATATTTATGGTCGAACTATTCAAAAGAATCAAACCTCTTTCATGATTCTCATTTATTCTTGCATTTCTAAAATGGTTCAATCACTTTTTCTGTACTCCCTCACTTTATTTTCACCCATCAATGCATATCACCCATCTCTTTTTTCTAGATTACAATTCATTTCTTCATCTAACTTCATCTTACACAGAAAATTGCCTGCTGCAGGGCTTCATTATTTTATATAGCTCTAAATATCTTGGGATGACCGGTATGCTTTTAGAAAAGGTACATGTTTCTTTCGAAATTTCATGAATAGCTCACATTTTCTTATTGTAGGAAAGAGTTCTCAAGGAAGAGATGTATACAACCCATTCAGCGAGCATTCCTCAATTTCTGACAGTGAAAGATCAGGAAGAGCAACTGCAACATGAAATTAAGACACACCAAGACCTTCTGGAGCAAGAAATGAGCACCTTCCAGGAACTTGAAGATAAGGTTGAATGACTAAATAAAAACATTGTTATATAGGCTGTTAAAAATAGCAAAATCAGCATTAGACCAGTTCAGATATCACAACAACATGTCTATGATTTTGTGTAGGACTTAAAATATGACTTTATACAATTACCAATCAATTCCTTACTTATTTGTGTAGAGAACAGCACAGGAATCATTTCTTGTGTCTTTAGTAATACTTCAGTGTGATGGGAAATGGCTGCCTGACATTTTGCTGCTACCAGCTAAACGGCTATTATGCTAAATTATCACTAATTGGATGTGTTATAAAACAGACCTAGTTTGAACTTAATGATTAACAAATCAGATCCTTATTCTATAATTCATGTATAATGGTAATACAGGAACATGATGCATACTAGTTAAGTACTTAAAGATAAAGTGTAAAGATAACCCAGCACTTAGTTCAGTGACAGTCTGTGCATATCAAATCCTGTACTAACTGCTTCGTCATCCAGGTTCATTTTTAAACAAAATCCTTTTAAAGCAATTAGAAACATTTTCAGAGAATAACAGATGGGTGCAATTGAGTCAAAACATTCACTTCCTACTGCTGATTTTTCCTTTGCTTTTGTGTTATAAAGAAACCAGATGCTTGAAAACATCTAGTTCTCGTCTAAGGTTCAATCTCAAGCCAATATTATATCCTTCACAGATTGCTTGTTTCTGATACTTAAGTCAATAACTTTTGATCTTCAGAAGGTCCATTATACTCATGATCAATATTCAAGCCCTTTGATAAAATAGGAAAGCAGGCCTTCTGAGGGCATCACAAATATAGGGAAATTGCTCATCTAAGTTTTTTTATTGATTTTCTCTGGGCTTTCCCTTATATTTTCTTGCTTTGTTATAGTGATGTACATCAACTAAACAATTATAGCATTTTTATATTTGTATGTATTTCTTTTAAATGTCTGCTCCCTGGTTTTTATTGTTTATGGTTGCTGATTTATTCTAGATTAGCCTGTTAGAAAAAAGAAGCACAAGTGTTGATTTAAATATTGCAACATTGAGTAGCCGAATAGCTGAAGTTAGAGCTATGCTAGAAAAAGAAGAACAAGACAACATTGAACTAAAAAGAGAGAATTCTCTGCTAATTGATTTTGCATCTAATCTAAAAAAACAGGTGATTTCTTTTATCATTTGTGTAAGGAAATGTAAGGAATTGTGGGTAATAAAGAACATCTGTAATGAAATTAGAATGCTCCTATGGAAATACTGTTCTTACATGTACATATGCATGTACATATGTGTATACACTTGCATTCACATGTACACACTATAAATAATCTGGATATATTGTGCCATGAGATATTTTATACCAATTCCACTTAAGAGGCTATAGGAAGTAGATAATGATATGTTGAAATTGCATGAAAACACTGAAATCACAGAGGAATTGATGCAGGAGCTATTATTATGTCAAATATTTCACAGTCTGCCCAAAAAGATAAAGCTATGAGTGCTTAAAAACAAAACTAGTATTTTGTATTGTATTTTAAGCTTTTGTACTGATTCGTATTTCATCCTTTTATCAAAATTAAGTTACCCGTAAATGTAATCTCTTTTCCTATGCTAGTCAGTTGAAGAATAGAGCTATGCTTTGCTTTTTTGAGGTCTTTCTCTGAATCTGGGTTTTTGAAAACATCTAAAGTAACCTAGTTAAGTAAGCCTTCTGTAATTCTCATGAAAGTACTGGAGAAGATACTAGGGTTTGCATATTTTTAAATGAGTATATGACAAAAGGGAGAAGAATAAAAGGATAAATTATAATTTGCTATTAATTTATGAGGAGTTTAGTTATTACTATAGGACCAAACTACCCATTTAAGTTAAATATGATGTTTATTAATGGAATTATAGCCAGGGTCCTCTCTTCAGGATTAATTTGAGGCATAAGAAAATAATCTTTTCCACAATATCTGAAGGTATTATTCACCAGATTAGTTCTTTCCCCTTGTTCTAATAGGCAGAGTTTGATTTCATACATACAGGTATTGGAGTAGCAGTAGCAATAGCACTTTAAGTCTATACTGCTTCATAGTGCTTTTACAGCCTCTCTATAAGCGATTTACAGAGTCAGCATATTGCCCCCAATGATCTGGGTCCTCATTTTACTCACCTCGGAAGGATGGAAGGCTGAATCAACCTTGAGCCAGTGAGATTTGAACTGCTGAACTGCAGCTAGCAGTCAGCTGAAGTAGCCTGCAGTACTGCACTCGTTAACCACTGTGCCACTCTAGTAAAAATCCTGTCTTTTCCATTATTGCAAAATACTTTGGGAGAAATTCATAGAATACTTTGTGTAAGTTAGGACAGAACATAACAACTGACAGAATTTTTTCTTTTATACCATTTTTTTTGTTGAAAATCATATATTACAATGCTGTCGTTGGACCACAAAAAGTGCTATTTGCAGCAAGAATAGCTGCATTTGAAGCAAATGGCAAGTTAAAGACATAACAATTAAGAAATATAGTACAATCACTGTCTGCCCTTTCCTTTGGCTGATAAAGTAGTTTGGCCTTAAGAACAATATCTTTACATAATTTTCACATTTTTTCTATCTTCAGCTGGCTGGAAAAGAAAATAGTCTACTGGAGGCATCAAATAAGATGCTGGGCCTGGATGAAGCAATTTCAGCTTTAAAAATGAAGCATACATTACATCAATCTCTTCAATCAGAAAAATGGGACAAAATCTCCAAAATGGCAAATTCCATGATGAAACTCAGCAATTCAATGGTGAATATTATTGACAGAATAGGAAAAGAATAATTGAGATGTGTTAATGAGCTTTGATTTCCTATGAGAAATGTTGAATTATGTATGATTTCATAGAACCTTCTTGAATCATGTCAATTTAATGATGTTACTTATTCTTTGAATCATGACTGTACACAGAAAGAAGATGCAGTGGTATTTGGGAATGACTTTGGGAGATAGGAGGAAGACCCACAGACAAATGGGTCTTGATCTAGTTAAATAAGCAATGGTCGGATAAGAAGTAGCTGAGCCCTCAGTAGAAATGGGGGCATGACAAATTTTAGAAGGGACTCTTTCTAGTTTCTTGAGGTGTAGAGAAGGGGGGGTGATGTATGTTCAGGCTCACAAGATTCTGTATATTTAACATTACAATAAGGATGGAGTTGGTATTTCTGGTATGCTTCTTGTCTGGACTACCTTGCAAGGCTGAAATAAGACGACTTTGAAATTGAAATCTTCAAAAGCAATTGTATAAATTTAAGCATAATCTATACTTACCTTGCAAATATTTATACATTTAATTATTACTGATGGATTTAGAACATATTTAAAAATAATTATAATTGCCAGGGCACAATTTATTATGTAGCATGAAATAATTCTTTTACCAAAGGACAATATTTAATAGAATTCAATGGGTTTTGCTACCAAGAAACAGATTGCACTAAGAATATATCTTATTTAATAGATTTTTAAAATGTTAACTGTTAAAGCTGAAAAGCAGCAGCAAATAATAATGTACTGCATTATAGGATAATAGGTGATACCTGGCAGCATTTATTTTATTCTGCATCCTCAACTTTATATATAAGATTTTAAACCATTGTACAGAAATTTAAATTTGGTAACCTTTGTTTAAATGATTGTGTGTATTCTGGTCTTAAGTGTATTATAGGAAGTTAGCACTCATCCCTCCCCTAGAAAAATGAAATAAATTTCAATTTCAAATCTTTACTGTCAGTGCACAACATATGTACAATGAGATTGGTTGAGCTCCCTCAGTGCAGCCCTCCCAACACAATACAACTCACAGTGAAGACAGAAAATCCCAAATCCAATAAATCATATTAACAAAACACCCAGTCCTGTTGCACTAGTGTGAACATGTTACACGTTGCGCCGGCCCTGCAAGTCCATCATACTACGTAGTTATGATGTTATTTCGCATTCAGGAGTCTGACAGCCCATGGATAAAAACTATTCTTCAGCCTATTTGTGTGGTTATGTTCTATATCTCCTTCCCGATGGTAAGAGGGTAAAGAAGTGGTGACCAAGGTGAGAGTCGTCCCTGAGAATTTTCCTCACTCTTCTAAGGCAGTGAGCCCTAGCGATCTCATCTAGTGGTATCAGGACAGCCCACGATGTTTTATGCTGTGCTCACCACCCTCTGTAATGTTTTTCTCTGTAAAAATATTCTAGGATATATTAAAAAGGCAGAATATTATATCTTCCTGGATGAGAAAAGGAGAAACATGCTCTTGGAAAGCTGCCCCCACCTTTGTAAATAGCCCCAGAAAGACAAAAGACATCTTATCTACAACACAAAAGACCTTCAGATCCAGGGTGATGGGATTAAGACATGGACCTCAGGACATGATAGGATTAGCCCTCTACCCATCTCACCACATGGCACCTGGGAAGATTACATCACCCAGCAAGGTCAACCAAGCTTGGGACTCAGGACAGCATACAAAATTATTCTTGCATGGCCCCATGGGAGTCTGACAACCAATCAGAATACAAGCTCAAATTCAAATCTCAACAGAGGGTATAAATCTCTCTCTCTCTCTCTCCACTCCATGTTGCAATCACAGTCTTCAGTGATCCTTGTACAGTTGGTAATTTGCATCTCATTTTTAAGTATGGGAAACTCATCCACAATCTTTCCAAAATAATTTGCACACCAATTTCTCTTTTGTTGCACAGAGAAAACTATAAAAAGGGTCAACTCATCCAAGAAAGCCATTCATAATTCATAGGTAAATTCAGATTTGTGAACAATCTGTTCACAAATCTGTTCACAATTTGCTCACAATAGTTTGTGAGCAAATTTCAGTTAAATAATTTCAGACGCCTAAAGTGAAGAAAACATTGGGTAGCTTAGAAAGAAAGAAGTTATGAAAAGAAAAATTATGACACCATATAAAGTTTGTAACTTGGCAGGTTTCTTAACCTTCTTGGTTTTAGCTTTAAAAGCATGTGACTGTACAGAAAAAGTGTTACATATATTATCTCAGAAGTTAGAGGCCATAATTAAAGGAAACACTTATGCTATATTTAGCACAAGATACCAATATATAGTTTACTATGTACTACCAATACTACACTATAGTTTATATTTACTAAACTATAATATAGCATACTTGTTTGGGAGTTAGGATGATCCATCATCCCAACCACTAGTTTTGTGAAATCTTTTAGTATGATTTAGTATTAATAAGCTACCTGTACTATATTAATCATTTAATACTTACTGCATGTATGAACATCTGTTCCTTAAATTCAAACCTATTCTGTTCAGCTGCTGTATCCCAATGGCTTAGAAATTGATTTCTAGAAAGCGCTTAGATATACAATCTATGAAAAGGCAAGGCAATAACATTTGGGTATTTTTGCTGAAGAACTGCCACACAGCAAGAAGGTAACCACATCCAAACAACAGAGCAGCAGCAGCAAATAAAACTACAAACTGCCTAACAGATTTAAGATTGAAATAGCACTAGCAATTCGTATAACTGAGCAAGGGAAAGCTCCATGGAACAAAACTGCTCACCTTAAGCTCTGAGTAGATAAGGGCAGTGTTGAATTTAGATTTGGTGAGCCCCTTGTTAAAAAAGTTACACCATAAAGGTGTGTGTCAAAATAGAACTTGTCACCACCCCCCCATTGAAAACGTGTACCTAATAAGGTGAGAAATTCAATTTTTTTCAGGGATCTACTCTCAAAAGTTCTGTTCAATGTAAACTCGAAATCAAGAGAAAATTTGGGCTTAAAATGTTTATTACAGTACACATAAAAAGCCACACAAGCCAAAAAAAAAAAAAACCTCAACCTTGAAATGTTGTGAGGCCCTTCAGATTGTAAACCCCTAAATTGTAGTTTGCTTAGTTATGCCTAAATCCGGCACCAGGTAAAGGAAGAAAAACAGATTGGCTTTCGCGAAACGTGTAAAGACCCCTCCCCCCCCCCCCAAAAGCGTCCGCACACACACACAAAAAGCGGAGGTCTTGTGGCAGAGCGGGCAAAAGGCCGACAGGTGGCGCTGCCTCAGAGCACGGGCAAGGGCATCGAAGCCGGAGCCGCCGATGATCAGCAGAAGCAGCAATCGCGGCGTCGAAGCGGCCGCGTTTTAGACGCGGATCCCTCCGCTGGTCTTCTCTGCGGTGAAGCGCTGCCGGAGAAGTGCCGGCAGGACAATGGAAACGCAGGCGCAAGGTGCGTGGCTTAGCTGGTCCTTCTGGGGAAGCCGCGTGCGTTCGTTTCCATTCTTGTCAGAGATTTCCAACCTTTTTTCTCCCCCCCCCCACAAACCGCATTCGCTTTCTGCTCGGTATTGTTTTTTTCGGAGAGGGGAGTGGGTGTCAACCAAAGCTTAGACCTCTTACTCTGGTTGCAAAAAGCAGAGAAAATTCTAAAAAGAACTCGCAAAATAATCCTAATCGTAATAGATGAGAGGGAAAGACACGGTGTTCTAGAATAAAGCATTGTTTCTTTTCTGTGGATCTTCGAAGGTTAGGAAGTAGAACCTGGCTAGGTGGCTCAGTGGCTAAGACACTGAGCTCGTTGATCAGAAAGGTCGGCAGGTTCGGTGGTTTGAATCCCTAGTATAGGTCTCCTGCATGAGCAGGGGGTTGGACTAAATGACCTCCAAGGTCCCTTCCAACTCTTGTTACTGTTACTTTGTTTTAAGATACATTTTTTGGGGGGTGAGCTATTCAAGGGACTTAACTCCCACCCCCACCCCAAAATATATCTTAAAACAAAAAAAAATTAAGAAAGTTGAGAGTTCCGCATGGCTCGGTCTGTTGCTGTTACCAAACAACTACAAGCTTGAACCGTAAGCGGTCCAGTGATGAAAAAAGGCTAAGAACTTGTTCTTCTGGGTCTCCTTCAGTCCAACCTAATGCCGTTTTTTCCGGCAGCCAGGGCATGCTCTGGTTTGGCGCCGTGCAGCAGAAGCCCAAAGCCCTAAAGTGGCGTGCTCCGTTACTTTTACTCTCCCGTCAAGAGGCGCAGCCTGGTAAATATTGATTCTAATTCTTTACTAATTAGATCAGATCGAAGCACCGAAAGAGCCATGGCAAAGCGCTGAGGACACTCTCTCCGTTTGTAGTTTCCCCCTGAAAAGGCTCCCGTGTATTCTTAAAACGTGCGTTCAAATACAGTAAAAGTTAATAAAGCAACAACTCATTTTCTTCTTTTATTACTTTGGGTTTTTTTGTCAGTTGCAAAGCAAAGCTCCTTTGCTGAGTTGGTGAATAGAATGCGATCCACTGTTTACCTAAGGCTTTCTATGAGCGTCAGGAAGGCCCTTATTTTCAAATCATCTTCTAAGTCTCTTTCCCCCCCATCCACCCCGACCCCAAATTTATTATGGAATACGGCTTTGGTGTATTAAAGACAATTGTTTCCGTAAGACCTACTTGCAGCACTGTCTCTTAAGGAGTTTTGCTTGGATTGCTGTGTAACAGGTTTGGCAATAGAAAGTAAATGTCAGAATCTCTCTTAAAATCCTTGTTCCTTGTACCACTTGCTTCTTTTTGGTCAGTGAACTTTATGAACCACAGCTTATGTTATTTGCTGCTTCTGTTTACATCCCTAATTTCATGCCTGCATTGTTAATAAATGCCATTAGTGGAGAAAGATCTAGTAAAATTAGAGCTTTTCCATGGAGCATTTGCTTCGTAATGACCTCTGTCCTATAATCCTCTTCTTGTGACTCCATTAGTTACATCAATATCACTTTCTAAACCTAAGAAATCACCGAGGAAGGCTTTTTATATTACTCTTTTTTTAAGGAGTGTTGTTCAGAAAATTTTAGCTGGTGCCATTTGCCATTTTGCATACATGCTTGAATATTTCTGAAAGAAACTAATTGTATAACATTCTGCCAACTAACTTATTATTGGGATAATTTCATACTGGCACCTTGTAAGTAAAAAAAATGAACATTTGAAACAAGTTTGCAAAATAAGAGAAGTTGTTTTAAGTGAATACATCCGCTCATTATTGTTTAGTTTTAATAAAGGGATTGAATGTAATTTTGCACAATATCACAGTTGAATAATTATTTATATTTCTACCAACGGCTAGTGCTGAGTGAGATTTCTTTCCAAGTAAAATATGCATTGCATCAGGCTGAAAAAGTGTACAATTGATGCAGTTTAAACATGAATTGTTTTGATAATGCATGCAATTAGTCTCAAATAATTGAAAGAAACTCGTTTCACTGTGTTTATTCACCCCTCAGAGTCATTGTTAGTTGCAACTGCCAGCTTTCTGTTAAAACTCATGGATTTCAGTGGGACTTGCTGGGGAGAGTACGCTTTGGATGCCAACTTCTTACATTATTAACTGTGATGTGTAAACTGACATGATAGTGATCATCCAGAAAAATCAGTTGCTGGTTTCTAGATGGGGCGGAGCCAGCATCTGGGTTCTGGATCCTCTAGAAAAGCCAGAGCCATTTTTAAATGAGTACCTTTTCTCTGACAGGTTCATAAAGCTTTTCCTCTCAAAATATTCACAGGTATGAGAAATATTTGCGAGTGATCACAATTTTATTTTGGAGTTCTGCTCTGTGTGGCATTTAGTTAACTATTTATTAAGCTAAATAACTGACGATTAGGGTACCTTCAGTACACTTTTCTAATAGAAAGTTGCCAAAATGATTTCAATAGTTAAACTTTGTTGTGAAGGATTACCCAGAATTCATTTAATGCTTGTGCTGGCTGGTAATATGCTTCCCACACATTATGAGGTGTTAATGTAAAGCCTATAAAAGATTTTTTTTTATGTTTATTGTTTTGAGTTATGAAAAGGTTGCAAGGAGAAGAAAACATTGTACAGTTCAGTGCCTCCTAAGGGAATAAGTATTTTGAAGTACCAGGCATTCTTCTGAAATCTTTTGTAGAGTGTTGTGAAGAATTTTGAATAGTGATGAAAAGATTTTGAACTGTGGGCTCTCAGTTTCTTGAACAATTCTTATTCAGACTTTACCATAATGGTGTTTGGTTATCATTTTCACTTTCTGCCCACTTGATATGTGATATCCATCTAATATTGGAGGGTACTTCCAGAATAAAAGAATAGCTTCCGTGCAAAAGATCATTAGATATGGGTTCCAACATGTAATGGGTATATCTGCCTTTCCCAGAGTTGAATGTTCAGAACTCCTAATAGTCTATTTAAAAAAATAATAATAATCAAAATCCAGAATCAATAATCAGAACAAACATACAATAACAAACAATTATTATTGCTAATCTAGTTCAGAAGAACTGACTGATCTGGAAGGTGCATTGCTTAGAGCAGAAGTGTCAAGCTTGTGGTGTCACATCTTCACATTATGTATCGCAATTTTTTCCCCTTTGCTAAACTGGGGGTGGGCCCGTTTAACACCCCTGGCTTAGAGGGAAAAGCAGGAATACACATAACTTGCTGAGTCCAAGTTGATAACCTTTTGCATTGGTGACAAATTTATCCAGATGAAAAAGAATCTTCCACTCTTTTTAAGTATTAATAGCAATTGTCAAGGAACATTCAATCTATTGAATATTGTTTGAGTTTTCAGAAAAAACATACAAAGAGAAAACGAGAAAGATTAAATCTCCAAATAATGTTAATTTAAGTAGAAAGGAACATGGATTACAATCTCCAGAGTACATTACTAAATGACAAAATATTTGGGGTGGTGGTGGTGGTGGGGGCAAACGTCCAAAGGGAGTAACTTTCTTGAACTTATAAACTGTGTTTCTTAGGAATATATTAAAAACAGAGAGATCCTTAGATGGAATTGGAAAAATCAAGATGTCCCAAAGATGCTTTTTCAAGAGGCAACTGGACTTTCTTTGTTTTTCTTCGAAGACGTTTCGCTTTTCATCCAAGAAGCTTCTTGGAAAAGAAGCTAAACGTCTTCTTTGGGACAACCATGACCTGGATCACTGAGAATCTCCATAGACAAAAATCAAGATTGCAGCCTCAGTTATACAATCAGAGATCCAGCTTTTTTACATTACATCATGACGTGAAATGTAAATGTAGATAAATCATAAATGTAGAATGCATGTACAAAGGGAACGGGGCTTTGGAAGCATGGGTGTGACAGCCATCTTGAGTTTTTTAACACCCCTTCTCCCACCCTCAATTAGTGACAGGTATTGGGCACTGCTGCTGTATGCCAATGATTCAGCATTTCTGTCATTTATCCAAGTGGGTTTAGGAGAGTTCTGAAAGCTTTAATGGAATATTGTGCTTCATTATATTCATGACTCCAAAACCAACACTAGGCTCTTCTTGGGAGACCTAGTTGCATTTAACCCGAGTGGCAAATTAGAAATAATAAATCTGAACAAGTTCCGGTTTTTAAATATCTTGGCATAATTTCCCAAGCTTCCAGAAGCTAGAGGGAACAAATCAGATCCATCTTTGCCAAAGCTAACAGCAGTGTTAAGGCAATTCTAGGCTTTTTCCATTCTAAAGTGGGTAGATGCATGCTTGCCACTACTGAGTTTTTAAAAGCTAAAATTATATCCCAGATGTCCTACAGTGCTCCTGTGTGCATTTACAGTGAACTACAAGCCCCAAGACATTGTTCAGTCTAAGTCTTTATGAGCACTTTTCTAGGTCCCATGCTGGGTCTCAAATGCCTTAATCTGCATGGAAACCCTTCGGAGGCGAGAGGCCACAGTTGCCTCCTCTTTTATGAGCTTTAACTTTTTGTTCTCTAATGGCTCACTGACCCTGTTAATTCTCCTTGATGAATTTTCATCAAGGTGGAAAGTGAAAACTTAGCTGACCTGTGTGGTTACAGCCTGTCTTTTTTCTACTTCTCCTGGCTTTAAAGAAAACTAACATGAAAAAACTCTTGGAAAGTTTTCAATATCATGTGGCAGAAGGATTTGGGCACTTTAGCACTAGTGGGTTTCAATCCAAAACCACTTTATATTTCCAACAGCTTATTCATCCTTATTTGTCCAGCACACTGCAAAGTGTTTACTTCGTCTCATTACAATGCTTTACCTTCTGCTGTACTAGAAGGGAAGTTCTGTTCAATAGAATCCCATTCACCAAGAAATGTAGCCCTGGTAATTTATGTTTTCTTTTGCTGCTTTTGCAATAATGTATGTCCTGGTAAGGGCAGGTGGCTCAGTGGCTAAGATGCTGAGCTTCTCGATCGAAAGGTTGGCAGTTCAGCGGTTCGAATCCCTAGTGCCGTCTAACGGGGCGAGCTCCCGTTACTTGTGCCAACTTCTACAGCTAGCAGTTCGAAAGCACGTAAAAAAGGAAGTAGAAAAATAGGGACCACCTTTGGTGGAAAGGTAATAGCGTTCCATGCGCCTTTGGCATTTAGTCATGCCAGCCACATGACCACGGAGATGTCTTTGGACAGCACTGGCTCTTCGGCTTTGAAACGGAGATGAGCACCACCCCCTAGAGTTGGGAACGACTAGCACATATTTGCGAGGGGAACCTTTACCTTTACCTTATGTCCTGGTAAATGGCAGGAGAAGTTTCCATTTCCTGCAAATAACCAAGAAGGAACCTATTGGTGAATATGAGAAGCAAAATGCTAGTTTAAAATGACCCTGATCTGATCCAGTACAGTTTATACTTGTAGAGGAAATTATTGTGCATCTAAAACCTATTAGTGCTGAGTGAGATATAATAAATGACTATGTTTTTTTTCTTATTTATTTGATATATATCTCCATTCCTACCGATGAATAATATTCAAGGCAACTAGCAGTAAAAAAAAAAAGCCTAATTAAATTTTGGATTCTTGTATTTCATAGAAAAATGTGAACTGATTATGTTTAAATCATTTCTGTTAACCTAGCTCATATGCTGTTTAATGTTTACTTCATTGGTACAGCAAGCTTTGCCTAATTAGAGCTGCAGTCCTAATCAGCTACATTAATGTGTGGTTTCACTAAGCGCAACCAGTAAATTTAATAACAAGTCTCAAACTCCTTTGTCTATTGTTATTTGATTTAATTATTTGGATGCCATCAAGTTGGGCCCAGCCATTGGCAACTGCATGAATCAATATTCACCATCTCAATCTGATCTGAAAACCTGTAGCTCTTCTAAGGGGATAACACTGATCTCTTGATCCCACCCATACTTGTTGTCTTTCCTTTCTTCTACTTGCAAATCATACTTCTACTTCATCATACATTTGCATTACATGCCCCCAAATTAGTTTCTGCATGCTACTCATCACTTCAAGGGATCAGTCAGTCTTTATTTAATCCAGGACTGATTGATGGGTTCTTTTAGTAACTATTAATCTATAATTGAAAGCATCTGGGTTCCTGCTCTTTCTAAATATACAGCTTTTAAACTATCCATTGTTAGCGGAAAAACATTCCTTTATCTTCATTTTATCATCCTGATCTTCATTTGTCATAGAAATATTCTTCCCGCATAAGTTTGTTCATAAATGCCGGTAGCTGTTCCTGACCCAAGAAGACAACGCTGTCACTTCTTTGCCATGAACTACAGAGTTATTGCAAAAAACTGGGTGACTGGTAGATGGCAGCAAAGAGATGGAGGTCAGTTTGGGTTTACTCCTTCCCTAGTATGGATAATAGCACCATGAAGTCTGTTTGTTTCTATCCTTAGAAGTAAGAATTGACGTATCTTAATCTTCTCACCTCCAAAATCTATGTTCTGACAATGAATTGTATTCTCTTTTCTGAACTTCTTAATTGTTCTTAAGAGCTGGTTCCATTTATATAGTTAATATTAGTCTGTTTGATCAGTTACAGGGAATTGGTCTTCTCGCTGTTCTCAGTATCTGGTTTATCATTGAAATAAAGTGGTGTTGTACAGAAAAAGTATTTTCAGAAGCATGATGTTGCTACATCACTTTTAATATTAAACAACCGTGCAGTAGCAGTTTGCTTTACAAGATCTATATTAGTTTAAGGAGCAGAACAAGAAGTATAGTAACTTTGTATGATGTTATTGCATATAATGACAGAGAATGATGTAATTGGCTTTAATTAACTTCCCTTAAGGTTGACATTTCAACCAGAATGCACAAAGAAATGTGAAGGCATTTCGTACCGGTAACTACCTGAACTGAATAGCTCTTTGGAAATTACACACACATGCTCTGCTTCCTTCCAATGTTCCTTTGTTATTTCTTTTGAATATATTTTGTGCCATTTAAATCATCATAAGGTCTAAATTAATGAGCTGTACAAAGTAATGATTATGAGGGAAAGTTGTATATGTGATGGAGAAAAAATGAATGTTAGATTTGGCAGCAAAGAATTGAACATATGTTAGCTGGTCAATGTGTACTGTTTTCTGCAGAAAATTTGGATCCGATATATTACAGAATGTCTACAGTCTTTAAGCTTCAAAAATTTTCACCATGTCTCAAGAACCTTTGGTTCTATTTTTAAAACTATATTCAAGCTGTTTATTATAAAATCTTCTTTATAATAAAGATGTCCAGTATATCATCTTGAGTAAATTAAGTCATAAAATCAAACGAGTTGACAATCTATATGGAAAACTGGATATGAGAATCCTAAGGATAAGTCTTATCTGAGCTTAGAATATTAACTGGGTAGTCTTGGACAGCCTAATGTATATCAAATTGTTCATGTTCTCTGTTAACACAAGGAGCACACTCTACACTGTAAATTACTTAAATTGCTTCTATTCATGTTATAAATTTATTTCCAGAAAGCTGGACTTGTATGCCTATTTATACTTTCAAGATTTATACACTAATGATTATTCCTTACAGTTAGCCCTTGACTGACATCAGCTCATTTAGTGACCATTCAAAGTTAGAATAGCACTGGGAAAAGTGACTTATGACCTTTTTCACACTTATGACCATTACAGTTTCTCCTACGTGATCACCTTTTGTGGCCTTATGACTAGCAAAGTCAATGGGGAAGCCAGACTCACTTAATAACCATGTTACTAACTTAACAACTGCAGTGATTCACTTAACAACTATGGCAAGAAAGGTCATAAAATGGGGGAAAACTCACTTAACAAATGTCTCACAGCAGAAATTTTGGCTGTAAGTCGAGGACTATCTGTATTTGTGTTATCTTTATGTCTCCCCCCCCCACCCATCACTTGTCCAGGAGGACCCAGGATTCGAGCTTGCTTTGAAGGAGCCCATATATTTTCACTCTTTTCTGTGTTATTTCCAAAGGTCTGTTAGAAAAACTAACATTCCATGAGACAGATGAAGACACCATCACTGATGTTGATTTGACCAATGTGATTTCTGAAGAAGAGCGAGAAGAATTAAAAGTTGAAGTAATCAAGGTAATTTTATTTTATCATTTTAAATCAAGTATTCTTTTTTTAGAATTCATTGCTTTTACTATTTTTTCATTTTCTGATATTTTTGGTCACTTAGTTGTGCAAAGCTATTGGATTATAATTACAAGCAGCCCTGGTTAAAACAGATTATCTGGATCACTGGGGTTTAGATTCAGATCTGGATATGGAATCAAAATTGCAATGGTTGCTCTTGTTGATAAACTTTGGTGCAACTTAGATTGAGGGATGTGGTTATCCCAATCATCTTGGACACTATTAACCATAATATCGTCCTCCTAGATCAGGGGTGTCAAACTCAAGGCCCATGGACTGGATCTGACCCATGGGGTGCTTAGATCTGGCCTGCAGTGCCACCCTGGAAACAGCAAAGGACCGTCTCACTGTGCCTCTGCCAGTGAAAATGGAGCTCAGGAGGGCTGTGAGCTCTGTTTTCGCTAACAGAGGGCTGCAGGAGGATCCCCCCAGCCTCACCCGGGCCACCACAGTTACCTCCGACACGAGTGATCTCGAGCTGACCACGGCCACCCTGGCCATGCCCACCCTTCCACCCGATGTCCCTCAATGAAATTGAGTTTGCACCCCTGTCCTAGATTGTCTGTCAGAATTGGGAAACGGGAGCTATTATTTTTCAGTTGGCTCCCTGAAAGTTCAGTTGGTCAGATTCAGCATATGTTTTGGTGGGGCCACACAACACCCAATAGTTTGAGGAACGAGGATTATCCATTCCTGGTCACTTGGTTATTATTGTGTATCTGTTTATTATTTATAAAATTGAGTCAAAATCAAGTACAAAGAATTTTATGTTTAGCTCTATAAGTTTTTATTCTCCAGTGTTTCCTCCAGTGTGAGGTGAGGTTAAGGCCTTTATCCTCAAAGCACATGCCACAGTGCAAATTGTTTTGTAGTCTTTGTGATTATGGAATCTAGGTCAATTCTGATCTTAGAACATTCATAACATTCAGATGCCATACTATTTCATTGTTTCAAAGAAGTGCCCTGGAGATTTGCCTTCAGAAATGCTTGAAACTTCTCCAAGTTTACCAATTTTCTGAAGAGTCAATGAAGTTTTGCTTGTTTAGATTAGCTGTTACCCTTCCATTGGAAGCTATGGGCCTCTTGGCTCTCTGCACCTTTGCAGACAGTCAGTAGTTAAATATACTTATTTATTTATTAAACCTGACTACATTGTCCAAAAGTAATAAACACTGTAAATATTATACGTATAACTGGTCCTCTTTCTCCTCACCAACTCTACCAAATTATAACACATGAAGTTGGGGCTACCAGAATAGGTTACAGAAATTAGATGACCAGCAGATTGCATTCGGAAGGTATTGCTCCAACCCAGTGCTCATCTGAATTTTTGCAGGTTAGATCTGGTAGATCTAGATAAGGGGTGTCAAACTCGCAGCATGCGGACGGGATGCAGCATGTGCTGGCCATGGCCATCTCCCAGTTTAGCGAAGGGGGGGAAAAGTCACGTCACATGACGTCACAAGTTTGACACCCCTGATCTAGATGAAGCAGAATTCCTATCGATACCAGCTAGTTTTATTATAACCCTAAATTTTACATCCCATTCTTTCGCATCTTAGATATTTTTTAAGACTCCTTCTTCTAACCATGCTGGCTTATAATACATGAGTCAGTTTTTTAATTGTTTATATACACTGTCTTACCTAAATTTCCCAACCATTGTTTAAAGAGACATGTGTATATAGAGATATTTACAGAATCTTTACTCATTTCAGAATTTTTACATGAATGCTGTTATGGATAATAAATAAGCAGGCAAGCTAAGTTTAGGCTGCTTTATGTTTATTTGCCAACTGGTTTTCAACTGTTTCATCCACATTTGCCTTTTATCTATGTTTGCATATTAAGTCAAGTATCATAGAAGATATGTGCCCAACCCCTAGAAGATTCAGATATCATAATACTAGAAGTACTCAAAAGTTTTGAATGGGAAAGTTTTATATTTGAAACAGCTTGTTTCAACCTTACTGGAAGAGATGCAATGCCATTTCAGCCATTCCAGAAAAATTTAGAGCTTGAAAATGGTGTGTTGAGCTCATGGAGCCATTTGATTCTGGAATGGCTAGAACAGCTCTGTAGTGCAGGATATTTCATATTTTGCATTGCTCTTTATATCTCCATGTAAATGTTACAGTCTACAATGGCGTAATGCAGAGGTGGGTTTCAGCAGGTTCTGATCAGTTCTGGAGAACCGGTAGCGGAAATTTTGAGTAGTTCGGAGAACCGGTAGTAAAAATTCTGACTGGTCCCACCCCCATCTATTCTCTGCCTCCCAAGTCCTAGATGATCGGGAGGAAATGGGGATTTTGTAGCGACCTTCCCCTGGATTGGGGAGGGAATGGAGATTTTACAGTATCCTTCCCCTGCCACGCCCACCAAGCCACGCCGTCCAAGCCTCACCACTCCCACCAAGCCACACCCACAGAACCGGTAATAAAAAAATTTGAAACCCACCACTGGACAGTGCATCTTGCTTTGTGACATTATGTAAGATTAATTGGGTTTGGGGATTGTTTTTATTTATTTTTATGCTCTGACATAGGGAATTTCTTGAATATTTTTTTTAAATTATGAAACTCATGGCCCATAAAGTGAGATTTTATTCGGAGTTGGCATAACAGTGGAGGAGTACATACAATAATTATCTTTATTTTGTTACCAGTTTATTTTGCGCCTACGAGACACAGAAAAACCCTATGTATGTTTTCAGCATATCCCATGGCTTTTATCAGATTTCAGGGGAAACTACACAGCATAATCTTCTGGAGCTCTTATCACCCACATTGCCCTTTTTCTAGAGCCACCTTGCTTTCTTCCTACCAACTCCACCCCTCTCTTTCCTTTTCCTGATGCTCTGATAATTATGCTGTACTTGTCACAACTGGCTAAGTATCAAGAAGACAGACCTTTTATTCTTTTTCATTTAATTCAGTTAGACAGCTCTACAAAACAACAGCAACAACCTCAAGACCCTTTTTGGAGATATGAAAATAACCTCGGCAGTAGTTGCTTTGTTGCTGGAATGCACCCATGATTGACTATGATATCCTTTTTGCCTGCCATAAATTTAGGCTTTTATAGTGCTTCTACTTCTTCCTTCATGGGCAGTTTCAGTCAGTAGTTTTCAGAGAAAAAAAAGTCAGGCCACAGTCACTCAACTGTGGAATACTTTAGGGTTCAGTTCTCCTCTTTCAGGATTTAATATCTATATTAACCCACTGGGAGACATCAACTGTTAGTTAGGAGTTTGGTATCATCTGTATGCTGATGATACAGCTTTGGTACAACTCATTCCTACTGTGCCAGAGTGAACAGGTGATGTCATGGAAGTCTTATCCCAATTCCTGGCGGGAGTATAACAGATTAAAGTTTTAACCCAAACAGGACAAAGCTACTGCTTTGTTGTTCAGGGTTCTCAGCCAGCTCCAGTCAAGTCTTAACTCAAGCATTACTCCCTTGGGGGGGTCTTTCTGAAGTTACCAATCCTCCTGAGAGGGCCATATACAGAGGGATCTTTATCCATCTTCAGGCATCTTGTAACAGTAATTGTAATCCTCATCATCGCATCAGTGGTGGGATTCAAATTTTTTTATTACCGGTTCTGTGGGCATGGCTTGGTGGGCGTGGCAGGGGAAGGATACTGTAAAATCTCCATTCTCTCCCCACTCCAGGGGAAGGTTACTGCAAAATCCCCATTTCCTCCTGATCAGCTGGGACTTGGGAGGCAGAAAATAGATGGTGGTGGGGCCAGTCAGAGGTGATATTTACCGGTTCTCCGAACTACTCAAAATTTCCGCTACCGGTTCTCCAGAACTGGTCAGAACCTGTTGAATACCACCTCTGCATCGCATGCATAAATTACAGTACATGGAGATGCCTTTGAAGATCATCTGGAAGCTACAAATTACTAATTACTTTCAGTAATTACTAATTACTGTCACCAGGAGTATAGTGCAGTTCAAGTTACTGGCCTATAAAGCTCAATATTGCTTGGCATCAAGGTATTTTCAGGACCACTTTCTCCATCTAGAATTATTCTGTCCAGTGCAAACCTCTTGGGAGAAACTTTAATAATCCTAGATTTCCATGCTATGGGAGTGGGGCTAAACCAGGACACTATACATTTCTGTTTTAGCTCTAATACTAGAAAACACATTGGAGCTTAAATTAACCTCCATTTTTGCAACCTTTTCCAAATTATGGAATATTCTGTAACTGTCATAGGATTGTTATACTATGGTTATCACTAATTCAGAGTGATAGACTGCTAAGATATTGTATGGGCACTATAAATATCAATGTAAATAATTTATTGCGAATGTTTAACTATATTTCTGTGGATGGTTTGTTGTTTTCTGCTGTTTATATCATAGTCATATTCATTAATTTTGACATTCTTTAAGTGAATAAAAACAATATATATTTGGTAGGGATCCAGTTATTTGGGATTATTGTATTTAAGGAAAATGTGCCACTTAAAATTAATGGGCATGAACAACAAGGAGTAATGATCCAAGCTTTTCCTTTGTTTTATTTCTTATATGCAGCTGGAGGATGAAATTGCAACTTTACGCCAAGTTTTAGCAGCCAAAGAGAAGCACCTTGTGGAAATAAAGCAAAAGCTGGGCCTCAATCTGATGAATGAGTTGAAGCAGAACTTCAGCAAAAGCTGGCATGATGTGCAAACTACTACTGCGTGAGTGCAAATTCGCTTTCTTCTTTCCTCTAGCTATTACTCAATATAACTTGCATAGGCATCCAGAACTTGGGTTGGAACCAATTTGATTTCTACAACTCAATTTTTATCTACCATTCTATCATGACTCTACCTGGAACGCTCTTTTGTTGGTTTGGACTTTCTCATGGAGCACTTTTGAGGTTCAAGACAAAAGAACTATCAAATCTGCCAATTTACGCTCTTAGAAATAATTGTGGAATGCCCAGCTTATGTGGGATGCTTTGCATCTTTTTGGGGAAATGGAGTAGTTGTTTAGCTACCACCTGTCAATGAAAACCCATTGAAATTAATTTGTCAGGTACAGAAAAGACACAGCCTTCTATGTTGCAAGGTTGCATTGCAGTATAGAGGAATCTCCCTTTTTTGTTACATTAATTGAAGGAAATATACTGGACCCTTTAGAATGAATATTGGATATTATTCTTTGGACAAACTAACTCCATTTGACTTTCAAAAATGCATTGTAGATAGATGGGCCTATCTGAGTCCAAGCAGATATATATTTTAATGACAGCACCAGCGATTTAATATATAGGAAATCAAAAAACAACAACCATGAGATATTGCTTGCATCACTTTTCAGTTTTTGCATTATCTCTCTGCAAAGAAGCTAGTTTCACGCACACTTTTGTAATGCATGACAGGCATCCAATTGATACACCAGACTTTGTTTTTCTTCAATTAGCCCTTATTAATTATAATGACCCATTAAAGTTTCTAAATTCATGGAGCAGGTAACGCATTTCCTTCTGCCTCTAAATGGTTTCAAACTTTTAATCAATAAAAGTTTGATTAAAGGTAATCAAGGTAAAGGTAAAAGTTTGATTGGGGTAACTTTTAATAAAAGTTACCCCAATATTCATAATAAAAAACCAATTCATGTTAATATTCTGCAAACACTTAACTGCAGTACAAATGGTAAGATTTAAATCTGTTACGTTCTTAGTTTCCTAAGTTTCCTTAGCTTCTCATCATCCACTTTCCATCAAAAGATATAATTCTGATGATTGCTTCATTGTTGCCTAGAAACTTTTAAATGGATTAAGGCTCAGTTGGACTTATTTAAGACTTTGAAATTAATTGAAAGAATCCTTCCTCGTGGGAGAATTTTACTTCTTACACGCCGAGACTAATAAAACGCTTTGAAAGGTTGGACACAAGAGGGCGATAGAGGGCTATCTTAAAAGAAGTGTTTGATATATGGGTGCAAGAAGTTTTTAAATTATTCAACTTCATAGCAGAATCAGAAGGTGTTATTGAAGAGGAAAAATCCTGTTGCTTAAAACTGAAGTTAACTTAGAAGTGCATTTAAAAATTACACCCTATGGGAAAGAGATGGAAAAAATGGTTTACAAATTAAATTGGATGATGACTTAAACATTACAAAAAGATAGACACATAATAAATCAGAAGATAGATGTGGAATACTATCCTATGCTAGACTTACAAGAGGGATTTGTTGGAGTTATCCCTCAAGATTGGGAGTGGATTGGTTAGAAATTGGTTAGAAGGAAACACAGCTGCCTAATTCTCAACGTTTATTTCTGGAGGTTCTGATCCACATGTTTTTACTTCTTTCAGGTTGTTTTCTAAATGTTTGAGTCATTGACAAATATTTTGGGGTGCCCATTGACATAATCATGATCAATGGGCACTCCATAATTACAGAGGATAAAAGTACAAATATGACACTTTAGCGGGTTCTTTGTATTATTATTATTTGTTAGTACTATATCCTGTTTCTCTTAATGATGTGCTTTTTTATTTCACTTTATTCTTTTATTTCTCCATTCCTCTAGGTCACAGTTGTTTTCATTTTAAGACTTAATAGAACAAAGAAATATATTGAATTAACTTATAATCAGTAAACTGGGTTTGGTAAACCAATTATACCAATATAAATGTAAATAGATTGATGCCATCTGCTTGCTCAGTATTTTTACAAAGGATCAGAGTAAAAGAAAGAATAGTAGTAATAGTGTTTGAGTATGAGCATATACCTCCAGCATAGGTACAAAGGTAAAGATAAATTGTGAGATACGAATGAGCATACTCAGCAAATACAATTGACGAAAACTGACTTGCTGGTTTCTAGATTTTAAAACAGTTTTGCAGCTGTATTGAAAAATGGAAATTAAATAACAAATTAAAGCATGACCTATAAATCAGTCATGTGCAAATTTAAGAGGATTGTGATATGCATTGTATTGGCTGTTTTAAGAAGAAAAGCAGAATTCCTTTTAATGCGAATCTGTTCAATCAACTCTGCAGTTAGTGAGCTGTGACTGAAATGGCTATTCTTGCTTTTTTTTTTTCTAATGTTGATATCGTAGTTGACATTTTATTTTTGAAATGCTCAATGCAATGATCTTGATTAGCCATCAAATAAATTTCCTAGCTATGTGATAATTTTAACCAGTATAATGCTTTACGCATCTGTACAATACAAATCAATCTGGCTGATGTGCATCATACCAATGAACTCTGATGGCCTGACATGTACTTAGTGATACATGCTGTTGCTCGCTCTTCAACCAATCTTCACAAACTGCAGTATAAGATAATAGAATTCTAGACTGTTTCTCCTTTAGCTAAGTAATCACATTTTTACTGCCCACCCCCATATCATTCATCAATATGTAATGGATAACTAGCAATTAACATATTAAGGAAACTTAAGTTGCATATTATTTTAGTCCATGGCCGTGAATCTCCTAAGGAAGTTTGTGTATAAGGTTCTTGATCTTTCTAGGTTAGAGCATATCTAATAAAGACTGTAATCTTTGAAAACCATTTGATAGTGTTTTGGAATGTGGGAGCAGAAGTACAGTACTCTTAAATCTCTTAAAACAGTACTGTCTTTTTCAGTTTTCTGTATGATTCTCAAAAAAGAACGTGGATGCTTTAATAAGTGACTCGTTAAAGCATTCATATCATTGCAATTCATTAAAGTGACCATATTATTTTTCAAACTTGCATGGAAAAGCTGCTGTTAGCAATTTCAAACAATGCACAGCCATATTTAGGAGCATAATAATAATTTGAAAGAATGACTAATCCATTTTAGACATAGATACAACTCGTTCACCCTGGTTCACCGTAACTCAGTTTGCACTTCGGCTCTCAATTCCTGTAATAGAATGTTGGCTTCTTGCTTTCAGTTTATGATATGCTGTTATCTTAAGGGCACAAAAAAATGAATCTTTGTTCTTAATTAGGATTGCTATTTACGCTATGCTAGGTATAAGAAGACTCAAGAAACTCTAACTCAAGCAGGGCAAAAGGCCACAGCAGCTATCAGCAACGTTGGAACAGTTATCAGCAAGAAGTTTGGAGATATGAGGTATGCAAGTATGGATTTAATTTAAAGGATGAAATTTAGTTCCTCTTGGTTATTCTTCAGTTTACTAGCTTTGCAAAATTGAATCATAGTTAAATTAGCTTTCATTTTTCCTGTTTTTTCGTAAAGTAAATTGCTACCTTATTAAGATACATTTCTGATTTAACTCCTAGAAAATTGACAATGGCATCAAAGAGCTTAAGTCCAGTTTGCTAATTCTTATTAATATATGTATAGTTGGGCCACAAAAACTGTATTAGCTTAATTCTTTTCATGGATGGAATCTTAAAGGGCAAGTATTTTGAAGAATAACTATCTGTGGTGATTCTCAATCATCCAGGTCATGATAGTCCCAAAGGTGCTTTTTCAAAAGGCAACTGGAGTTCAGTTCGGTCTTCAGTGCTTCAGAATTGAAGATCCTTCTTGGATTAGAAGTGAAACATCTTCAAGGAAAAAACTAAATCCTTTAAAAAAGCACCTTTGGGATTAAGAATAACTAGTTTACCTCCAAACTCTTAAAAATGCCAGGTACAGTGACAGCTGCACACATTTCTAAGTGATTTAGAATGTTAGAACTTGTAAAACCGTCAGTACCTTCATTCATCATTTTCAGTGGACTGCTCTGCCTTTTCAGACAGAGTTGTCTTTCATAGAAAATCAGGATTGATTATTACACATTTCAAGGTTGAGCTGACTGATGAATAGCAAGGTGATCTGTTCCAGGTTTTTAAGCTTCTTAGACAACTAGTTTTAATTTTGTATTTGCTTTGTTACTTATTGCCAAGGTTTTAGCAGTTTGGTAGGAATGAGGTGAAAGACATTTGAGATAGGTCCGAGATGAAAGGATTAACAACCTTTTTCAAAGAGATAGTTCCTAATCTTCAAAACAATAGCTGGCAATAAAGCAAGTTGCCCATGGCTTGACCTATAGATTGCAAGTTATCTTCCATCATCTTAAGGGGAACATCCTATGTTGACTTTAATTTATATCGTTGGATCTGAGACGTCTCCAATTCAGTATCGAGGGTTGACACTTTTTCATCTCTAGCTCAAACAAAGCCAGTCTTGGCTAATTTTTGCCCACATTAGCTGTTGATTTTGCCATAGCTATGTCTCCCCCTTTTCTAATGGAAAAGAATTATTTGAATGAGGATAATTTACTGTGCAGCTCTCTAATATAATTCCAACTAATAATAGGTACATTTTACCATGGTTATTTGCCACTTGATAAATCATGTAGCACAAAATAGTAGTGTCTGGTTTGTTCTTAAAAAATAATAATGGAGATCTGATATTAATAACGAGCTTCGAAAAAGTAAAGATAAATATGTCACATTAAAATAATATATAAATATTCTTATATTAATGATAAAACTGGGTAATTTTTTATAGCATCAGGTTCAGGAAATGATTTATTATGTGACATTAAGTCAGTGTTGATTCTTGGTGATCACGTAGTTTGATTTTCTCCATTTTCTCTATCATCAAGGACTTCAGTTGATTCAATTTAAATCATCACTGTTTTCTTTCGTTAGTTGACATAATTTATGCCATTGAATTATATATGACAAATGTGCAGCCCAGCAAGTAAGTTCTGCCATTGAATTCTTTCATTTCTTACAGTGGAATTGGCTTGAAATTATCTTGCAAGTCCTGCTGAATTCCTGTTGGAAGCACAGCCAGATTCATTAATTAATCTAAGGTTTCTGTGCCACTCCATTCTAAATTGGCTCTGAGAAACAAACAAAACTTGGTGATCCTAACCTATCCCATGCTTTTAATTTCACTTAATTTTATGCATATTTAACTGAAACTAACTGGCTCACCTATATGTTTATGTTGCATATGTTGCAACTGATTTGATTTATAGATACAATTTTTAAAACAATTTTGTTGATTTAAGGGATGAAGATGCATTCTGAGCTAAGACATTCTTCTTTTGCTATTTAATTACCAGAGCTGCTGCTGATGATAATAGTCTATTAAATTTCTGCGCTCTAAAATAGCTTTGTTTTAGGAGTATTAAATAGTTCTGAACATTGCAAACTTCATTTAACAGACACAAATTATTTGAAATGTTGCAGTTTGACTGCTAGCACCCTCTGGGAACAAGTTTTCAAAATCGTGTTCTTATTAGAAACATATTTGAGATTGCAAATATTGATAGTTATAGGGCTGTATAAAGCATTGGAAAGGGGAGCTAAGCAGAGGGCTTTCTACAAATTAGGCATGACTTTTCAAAGTCTGAAAGCATCTGGGTGGTACATAGACACTGGCTGGGACGGATGGAAGAGTATTCATTCATTCATTCATTCATTCATTCAGCTGGTGCTTTGCATGTGCTAACATATTTCATGAAACACCATTTTCACATGCTTTCTGCTCATGAAAAATACTGTAAATATTGTTCAATCCCTCTTGGCACTGAGTAGACTATGTTGGGTTTTGAAAGAACTTCCATAGCTATATACCCATGCTTAATTCTTCCTGATTTTTCCTTATGCTGCTGATCCAGGTCACAGTCCCTTGGGTAAGGTGATTGACTATATGTTGCTACTACTTCTTGTTCTTTCTCTGTCTCTCAGTTTCTTATCTGTAAGCCATCCATTATGCATTCCGGAAACTTCAAAATTATATGAAGAATGCCAGAATATACCCCCAAAATTGCTTTGGCTTATCTGTGGATAGATGTATCCATGAGTATATATGATTATACTTTTTAAAACACGCCATATTTTTCATACATACTTGTGGATAAGTCCACCTGCAGATAAAAATATCCTAACTTTTTAAACCAAAATATCATGAAAAATGCAAGTTGGATTATCTGTGAGTATATAGGGTACATATACCAGTGGTGGGTTCCTCCTGGTTCAGTCCGGTTCGGCCGAGCCAATATGATGTCACCGAACCGGTTCTCCCCCCCCCACCCTCCCACCCACCCACGTACGTTATTCTTACCTTTTATTTGGCCCCACCCCCAGTCTATTGCTGCCTCCTGAGTCCCAGCTGATGACTAGAGGGAAAAAAACTGTTTAAACTCTTGCCGCGGGGCTTCAAAGGACCATCCTACAGCTGATCAGTGTTAAAAGCAAACAAATGAGTCGGGTCGTAAGTGCGAGGACTGGTCATAAGTGCGAGGACCTTCCAGAAATGACTCTGACCAGCTAGCCACTCCCACCTAGTCACATGACCTCCAAGCCACACCCACAAAATAAGCCACGCCCACAGAACCGGTAGTAAAAAAATTTAGAACCCACCCCTGGTACATACATACTGTAAATATTTGGCAGTGTTTCTTACTATGACAATGTTTCCCTTCCTTTAAGGAGGGAGGTTATTACTTTAATTAAAACATTTTTGAATATATAACTAGATCAAACAGTATAGATTGCTAAGGAATGAAAAAAATATCTGCAAACATTATTGAGAAAGTTGCTAATATGATACTTAAGAAAATTTAAAACTTCCTATTAGAGGTAGCGCTTCTAAAGTAAATATGCATGTATTGATCTTAGTATAAGTATCCATGATACTATCAATTATAGCTTGGCACTTTCCAGCTGCCTGAAAGCTTGTTTCTTTCTGAAAAATGGAAACAATTGAGTTAGCTCTAAATCTGTCCTTTTTCTCATTTTTAGAATATTTATGAGCAGGATGTGGCTAGATTGTATTGATTTGACTTGTATAGGAGGTAGCTTTCTGTCTTCTGTCTGCTCTTATTGTTGCAGTGTTTAAAAAGAGGGTTAGAAGTGTCCCCCCCTCCTTCTCTTCCTCCCATTTGACAAAAGGCTACATGAACTTTCATAAATATAGATAAAGACCCAGGTAGCAGGATCTTTAAAACAGAGCCCTTTTAGAGACAAGAGTTTTACTCTTCAGTCCCGTAAGACTGTGTTTATTAAAGGCAACCATTAACCTAAGACCTATTCATCTTATCTTAGAAGTAATGCATTATAGGACTTAACCAATTGAATGCAAGTGGATAAAATATTTCCTGGTTTAGAATTATTGCTCTTCTTCCTGTTAGTATCTTAATCATTGCCTTCCTTCCTGCTGTTGCTATTGGCAGTCCCCAGACTACTCCAGATAGGCACAATTAGAATGTTATACCGTCCTAACCCCATCTAGCTATAGTCCATCCATCAATTAAAGCCAAATGAAGTAGATTAAAGTGTCACCACAGAAGATCTTCCATTAGATTCTGACAACGGACTGTTGTATTTTAGTGAGATTCCAAAGTAGCTTTTCATCAGTGAGCATGCTCTTAGAATGTAAACTACAATAGTCTACTGCAAGATGTGATTAATGTGAAATCAATATAGCTGCAAACCTGTAATCGCTGTGTATTTTCTCTTCTTTTTCATGCTTTTGCAAAGCAGGTATTCTATCCGCCATTCCATGAGTATGCCTGCTATGAGGTAACTACGGTTATATATCTAATGGTATTGTAATTATAAAAATATTTAATCCTACAACCTTTATATTGAATATTAGGAATGTTTTGCATAATTGTGTTTTCCATTTTTTCTGATACATTTTTAGTTAAAGAAAATGTGTCAGGCTCAGAGTTATTAAGAGACCCTCTTGTTTAGCTGAGATGGAAACTTATTGGCAAAAGAATATTGCACTGAGTATTAGCAGTAATTGATGATGGAGAATGGAAAACATTCCTTATTTTAGCAGTGCCTTAAAACAAAAATGTTTGGATACATTTGTTTGTACCTGATGTATGTTATATTTAGAGAAAATGGGAAGCATCCTTGAGGGGAAGGGCACCCATTACATTTTCTATCTTATACTTTATTTTCAAAGTTTCTAAGGCCAAAGTCCCAGTCAGATCATTTTAATTCAGAAACAAACTCGATTCTAATTCCTGGCTAGAGTATCTGTGTCTCAGTTTCATTTACTAACATTGCCTACATGCCACAGTACTTTCACATCAACAATCTAATTCTCCTAGAACCGTGATGGCGAACCTATGGCACGCATGCCACAGATGGCACGCGGAGCCATATCGGTGGCCACGCGAACATTGCCCTAGCTCAGCTCCAGAGGGCCTCTGGGGGGGGGTAGGGAAGGCCGATTTCGCCCTCCCCAAGCTCCAAGAAAGTCTCTGGAGCCTGGGGAGGGCAAAAAACAGGCCTAATGGGTCCACTGTGCCATCACGTTCCAAAAGCGAGGGGAGTGTGGGGTGCATTGAATTATGAGTGTGGCCACGCCTGCATGTGACACACACACACCCCTCGTTCCCCCCGCTTTTGGCACACAATGGCAAAAAGGTTAGCCATCACTGTCCTAGAACAATGCCAGAAGTGAATGCTCTGCAAAAAGGATTTGAATCAATTTTAAATGCTTTCTGTTATTTTGTACCATTGAATTAAAGCTTCTTTCTTTCTGTATGGCATCAGCCTTCCAACTGAAGTGTTTGTTCCTATGCAAAGAATTGACATACAGTACTCTCTGAACATCATTATTTCTCCAATACAGTCTCAGTCGAAGCTGTCCAAATTTCCATAGATTTGTATCAAGTATCTTTCTTTCTTCTTGAAGAATGATGTCGGGAAAAATAGGGCCATAAAGAATTTGTATGGTGATGTGGGCTAAATAGATGTCCAAGTATTTCAAAATAATTCATGTTGTTCTTGGTGCCCCATGTAAGCATACAGCACTTATCTTCTAAATGGGGTACTTTAAACTTTTAAATATTGACTTAAGAAAATGAACACGATTAAGTACTAACAAATACTGGTCTTCGTTTTATTTATTTTAAGGAATTCTCCTACATTCAAATCCTTTGAAGAAAAGGTTGAAACCACTGTTACAAGCATTAAGGTAGGCATGAGAACAAAGGTGAAAGGGATTAGGGGAGCCAGGCAAACCCTTAAGAAAAACCTTGTGAAAAGTTGGTCAGTTAAGTCATTATTCTATAAGCAAACTTGTGTTATAAGCAAACTAGATGTTCACAGGGTTCCTTCTATGAAATCCCAGTGCATTTTTAATCCCAGAGTGTTGTTTATGAGTTGAAGTACTTGGTTCAAGAGCAAGCCATATTTTCAATAGAACTTATATCAATAGAACTCAAATCTAGGGCCAGGTCATGCACATTTTTTCCCAGGGTTCCTGGTAATTTCTGTTACTCAGATAAGTTTCTTGTTTACCCCACAGTACTAATTTGCCCAAAATGTAACATCTGTGAAGGAAAGCGGATGAATTCATAACCAACTTTGCATTTAAGAGCTATCTTGAATCAAGGAACATCTGTCCTGCACTTCAACATACCTAATTTAATACAAATGGTCACAATTATATAACACAAAGCTTGCCTATTTGTTGACACGAATAAGCTCCTAAAACATTTTTGCTCTGGCACAAGCTTCTTGCCTTTTAAACAAGTTCTGCCTCACTTGCTGCTTTGTGAGCAGGGACAATCAAAAGATAGAATGAGTTACCAAATAGAATGGGTGCCAAATAGTTCATGGTATAGTAGTCAAAATATGTAAACAGCCCAGAGGGACAAAGATGAAATTATTGATTTTAGCAAAATAAATAAATAAATGGTTTTGTTTCTTCCAGACAAAAGTTGGAGGTACACCTCATCCTGGAGGAAGCTTTGAAGAAGTTCTTAGCTCAGCGGCCAATGCCAGTGCTCGAAGCCCCATTGCAGGCAGCCAACTTTCAGAAACCGAAAAGGAGCTCCATTGCTAGGTGAAGGATTCTTTGCCCTGCTGTTTGCATATGACCGATGCATAAAATGTTTCTTTTCTCCCCAGGGCTGAGTATGAAGTTGTAGGACTGCATTGAGAATATACCTAGACAGACAGTACTAGGCAGAAAGATCGGCTGGGATGCAACCAAATGGCAGCTATTGCTGCAGAAATAACTGCTAGCTGTCCTTCTATGCTAGTTTTATTCTATTTATGCTGATCAGTGATTTTACATTGTAACTTCTATACAATTGTTTCAATTTTTTAAATGGTATATATTATCTTAAGAAATTTGTCCATGTTATGTTTTTATAGTGAATTTCAGAAAATAAGATGAGATTATTATTGTTCAAGCTATTACCTATTCTCCTGGTATAAACAACAAAGCTGTTTTTGCCTGTTCTGTGTTTATGTGCCTGTTTCTGACTGTTAAAAAAAATCAGCCTCTTCATTATTATAGGTGCCATTGGGATAAGGATTGGAACCAAAAACAATTACGCTGCAAAGTTTTCTGTCTAAAGAAGCAATGATACATATGCCTTTAGTACAAAGTACTGAGGAAATATTTTTTTAAAAAAACCACGATAATTTTAGAATAGTCAATCAGTAAAAAGTTTGGTGTATATAAACAGTTCCAATTTCCTTGGAAACATGTGGCATGTAGAGCTTTAATCTGATAACAATCTGAGCCAGATTATATCCATGCTTGCCTGCAATTGTTTGAATTGTAATAACGTTTTTCACTTTTCAGTTGGGAGTAAAATAAGTGTGCCTATCCAAAAGACCCGATCATACTTATGCTTTTTAAAAAAGAATATTTAAAATTTCAATTCTTAATTTAGGGCTGGACCTTTAAACTATGTTTAAAAAATAAATAAATCCTGTAACATATGACTTCTGAACCTGGCAAAAAACTGATATCTAAAAGATATGGAGCTCAATTAAATTTATGCAGCATTAACCAATTTGAATTATTTGTGTTTATTTATAAGTTATGTAGAGTGTGACATGAGCAGCTATTTTTATTTTCCTGTTTCACTTTTGTCTCTATCTTGCTGGGTTATGTGGTTCATTTAAAGAAGGTCACTGTTTCTATTGCAAATATTCAGAGAAGCAGACTGAAAAGCTGACACACGGTTTAATCATTTGGGTTTTCGTGTCTGAAATTCCATAACTGGAACTGCCCAAATGGTGAACGTGTTTTCTCACTTAATACAGACTTTTGCCGTGCAAAGAGTCTGAGATGGAAATAACAAAGTGGTTCATACTGTGTCCAATTTTAATTTATTGCTGAATATTCTCGGTATTAGTTGCCTCCTATAAAACTCCAACCATGCTTTTAAAGCAGCCACTTTAATTTTTTGACTCCAATACTTAAAAAAATCTTTGCTTTCCTATCCCATTTCACAGCCTCATTTATTGCCTACATTTTCTACATTTTCTAATAAACCAACAGTCTTTACGTATATTATGCCACAAGACCACATACACACACACGTTCAAATCATAAAATAATTTATTTAAGATGCAGGTAAGCACATTTCAAACGTGATTCAAGTTGGAGGATCACTGTTTTTCGCAGCTATATTTGCATTTCTTTCTTTATTTATCGAAGATACAAGCTGGACTATTTCTGGATGACTAAATTTTCCTGTAGAAAAAGATTTTAGTTAGTTTACATACTTTTCAAGTAGACTACAAAATTATGGCAGTAACTCTGGTAACTATAATTTTATCTACAAGAACTGTGTTACTATATTATATTTGGTACTCATCTGTTTGCCTAGACTAGTTCTATTTTCTAAGGTATTCCTTCCTAAAATTACAATAAAGCTTAGAATGGTGAAAAAAATGCTAGGCACCTGTGTTGTGTTATTGCCTTAATCTGTCATCTGAAATCAGATCAGATGAGAGGAGGAGCAAGTCCATAGCACACATCAACACAACCGGCTGGGCTTTTAAATCTCCTTTGCCTCTGAAATCAACGTCACAGAGAGCTACACAAATTGATAGCTTTTTTGCTAGCCTTCCAAAACACAAGTAGACAAGCCAAAGTCATGGAAAACAAGGGCACCAACTGCTACCATCAGAGAAATGGTTTTTGGCAGCTTCTTGTGTCTTTGAAAAATTCTAACTAGAATGTCTTCCAACTTCAATCATGTGGAAGACTTTAATGGATGAATCCATTTCCTCAAGGACAAGTTCCTACAACCAAAATTAAATTTCTTGGAAAATGTACAAGTAACTAGACTTCTACAAGATTTAGGCTATGAATAACCTCTGATCCTATAGCTTTCCAGAGGCCAAGGCAACAAGCCTTTTTCCAGTCAGCAAAAGGGAGCAGCCCCCAGAAGGACAGTCCAACTCCTTCCCTTTCCCATCTTGGTGCTATCAGCTTCTGGCTTGAGAAATTTTGATACCAGAGCACTTTGAAAGGGCGATTGTGGGGTTCCCAGTCATCTGTTTCAAATTAATATCCCATCTTTATTTTATTTAGTGTATGACAATGTTACATTAGCCGGGAGACTACAATGCTAATACATACTAGTAGTTTGGCTGCCTAAGATTCCTGGCCCTGTTTGGTTCACGGTCGTGCACTTTCCAAGCTGTGCCACAAGGGACAAGCTAGCTCCGCACCAGAAAGAAAGACAAATGGCATCCTGCAGCGTCATCCCTCAGCAGAAAAGCCATCCTATAACATCTGTTTTGTCTCATGAGTCATAAACATAGACTTGTTTAAAGGAAAGGATATTTACCAGCAGTAGTATCATAAAAGTCTTGTAATGTCCCAGGTCGTTTCTCTAACTCTTCATACTCTAAAGCTTGAATAATCATTTCACATTGGTCCAGCTGTTTTACAAATTTTGCTTCTGCAGTAGACTGATATTCATATTCCTGAAGAGAATTATATAATGGAAAACTAGTTCATCCTGTCACACTGGGGTCTGTAAGTCATTCCCAGCAGTACTTTTTCTAGCAAGTCAGACATGTAGAAACAAATGCAGGTTTATATTCTGTATTCTCTTTCTGATCCAAGAGCTCCACTCTAAACTATATGTTCTCTTCCTTCACACATCCAAACATACTTCCCAATGCAAAAGTTAGGTTTGAGTTCCAGAACAATCAAAGTGACCTACACAGAATGTTTCTTCTATGCAGTGGCTTCTAAGGACTACAGTACCCACTCACCGGGTTACTCAAAGCATTTCTTTCCTCTTTCCTGGTACTTTTCCAGCAGAGTGCCTTTCTTCCCTTAGTTCACATGGAAACTATGCATTTTGAAAACTCTCTTTCGTTGCTAGAGAGATATCTTGCTAAACCTTTGTTAAAGTTGCAATTCTCCTCATGTAGCATAAGCTGAAATCTTCCTAAATGAACTTTGCCTGTTTTGAGTGAATCTTAAGTTTTTTCATCCACATGCATACTGTTTAATAGATGCACAATGCCACTGCTCTTCCCAACCATCTCTATGGAAGCCATCAGTACTGTGGGATATTGCCTCACCGGAATAATGGGCTAAATGAGAGGGAACAAGCTGAAGTTAAATTCAGAGAAACTAGAGGTGTTGATGGTAAGGAGAAAGCTTCACTCTAGGACTGAGCTGAAGCTTTTTCTGAATGAGATTGCACTCCAGAAAGAACACACACACACCTTTTGAATGGTTCTTGACATTCAGTGGTCATTTGCAGATTGTGACTGTGATGTGTATACTTACAGGTGTGCAAACTTTTCTAAGCCAGTTTATGTCTGGAATACAATCTGACCAAACTACTGTATTGTGCTTTACTAAGGGCTGCTCTTGAAAAGTGTCTGAAATTGCAAAGTAGAGCATTACAAGTAGCCCTTGACTTATGACCACAATTTGGCCCAGAACCTTCATTGTTAACAGATACAGTCACTAAGTGAGACAACTCAATTTTATGACATTTTTTGCCGTGGTCATTAAGGAAATAGGAATACCACTTAGACTTATATACTGCTTAAGCAAATCAGGCTTCCCCCATTGACTCTGCTTGTTATAATCCCTGGGAAGGTTGTAAATAGCGATCATGTGACCCCAGGATACTGCAACTGTCAAATACATGCCAGTTGCCAAGCATCCAAATTTTAATTACCTGACTGCTGGGATGCTGCAATGGTAAGTTTGAAGACCGGTTGTAAGTCACTTTTTTCAACACCATCATAACTTTGAATGGTCATTAAATAATCAGTTGTAACTTGAGGACTATATATACATATACATGATGCCTATGATGAAAGATCTGCACTATTAACTATTTTAATGACTTCAAAATGGTTTGTTAATTAAAATTAACAAAAGACAGGTTCCCCCCTCCACCACTATCCCTCCCTCTATATATATAATACACACACACACCTTGTTGCTTTATGACCCTAAAGATTTGGTTGATTGAGACAAGGGTATAATTCCGATAATAAATAATCTTATGAAAAGGATTCTGCTCCCTATTATCCACTACACACATTATTTCATGAAACACAGTATTTTCCCAAATTAAAACTAACATACTTTAATATAAACGTTAAGAACATAATTCACTTTCTTAAGCTGTTAAGCAAAAACTGAAGAAAGAGGTCACTTTAATGGACAAGGTATACTGATCATGTTAAGTATGTATACTTCAAATTGCTAACTGCCCTTTCTAACTCCCAATATAGTGGATCATAGCTGCATGACAATTACCCTGAATCTTATAATGAGCAGTAGAGAGGGGTCTCTTAAATTGATGGTGGCTCTCATGCAAAACATTTTTTAACATGTTTTCTTTTAGGAAAAAAATATCTGTGAATAATTTTATATGCTGAAAACTTACTTCCCAGAGTTCATAAATCTCTTTTCCCAGATCCTCTGACAGCAATCTGGTCAAATGTTTCATAGCTTCCTAAAAAGAAAGAAGAAAGAAAGAAAAAAACAAAACAAAATCTCCAAGGTCCTCTAATTTTTATTGAAATGCTAACAAATCCCTGTATCCTGTTCTCTGCTTTTGGACATCAATAAAAGCCATGGTCTATTGCACTGCTATTCAGAATTGGTAAGACCAGGGGATGTTAGCTTGGTTTTTATCACAAGAAGTAGTCACTGATTTACAACCAGTTGCTTCGTGGTCTTTCATAGTTACAATGGGCCTTCATAGTTACAAGTTGTATTTACAACTTGGTTCTGAAATTCCAGCAGCTGACTGACTGTGTCCATCACTCAGCAATGACCACATAGACAGCTATTTGCAGCACCTGTGGTCATGCAATCACGTATTTATGATGGTTCTGTTAAAAACTGGTATTCACTTCCAGCCTATAGGGAACAATTGATTTGCTTAATGACCGACACAAAAAAGGTCACAAAATCAGGTCTGGAATGTGCTTGATTCAATTAAGGAGCGCCACAATTTATAACTCTAATGGGCAGGTTCCATTATGGTTGTAATTCAAGGACTAGTAGATTAGAACCCTACATTTACCTGTAAATGTACAATAACCCACCATAATTGGTGGAAATGACACAAATAATTAAACAATCAAAAGTTCTATACCAGAAAGATGTTCTAAAAATGTTTTTTAATGTTTTGGGAATGGCAGTTCAGGGAAAGCTGCTACAGACAATCACACTACTCCCATCTCCATACTGACCTTTTCTTGCCGATGTTTCTCTTCTTTGGAAATATTGTCAGCAGGAGCAATGTCACCAACTATGCATTCAGCCATATCATGAACCAAAGCTAATCGGATGCACCTGCAAAGAAAATATGTATAAAGAAAGGCAACAGAGAAGCACCACCAGCAAAATTTACTTTGAATATTAGTGAATCATATATAGATCTCCAACAAAACATCTCTTCATATATGTTAATGAAATAAAAAACTTTGTCACACAAAGGATCATAAAGAGGTTTTAACAGTAGTCTTTGTTCCAAAAACACCAGTAATAATAATAATTTTAAAAATTCATTCTTTGACCAATGCAACCATTTGTAACAACATTTTGAGGGCCTAACAACAAAAGCCCTCACTGTGAAACTGATTAAGGTCTGGCCAACGTCAAAACAGGAAAACTAGCTAGTCAAGAGGGTTCTAATCTATTAAATAAGGACAGCAACTAACCAGTAACCTTCACAGTGTCTTTCTGTCGTGTGTTATCTTAACGACCATTCTGCTTCTAATTTTAAGGAACAGATTGTGATCACTAAACAAGGAGGGGATGTAGTTTTGGAGTACTGAACTTCAGTAGCAGCACTGGCCCTTGGGAGTGGCTTCCCTCTGGATCTTCCACTTTTAACTGCATTTTGGAAGAAGCTGAAAATTGAGCTCTTCTGGACACTTTGATTTGGGAAGCTTTCGTTTTGTATTGTTTAGAATTATTGCTATTCTATTATTTTATTCAAATCTATTATTTTAATGACGACTTATAACGAAATGTGGGAATGACCCTGAAGAAATGGGGAAAGAGATACTGCTTTAATCAGGCAAGGAGAGGCATCTGAAGACATTTCTGTGATCATGTGGCCAGGGGTGCACTGAGGTGCTCGAAACAGTTACTTTCCCATTGAAGTGGTACCTATTTATCTACTTGCATTTGCATGCTCTCAAACTGCTAGATGGGCAGAAGCTGGGGCAAGTAATGGGAGCTCACCCAGTCGTGCAGTACTCTGATCTTGAACCCAGGCTATCAATTTTCCAGATGATAAACTCAATGTCTTTAACAGATGAGCCTCTGTGCCAGTGGATCTATCCGGCTCGCACGAACCGGTAGGGCTGGCTGTGGGAGGCTCCGTCCACCCCCTGGGACATCATTATGTCCCATTTTTGGCATGCGCAGAAGGCTCTATGCATGTGCAGAAGAGGCACGCACGCACTCTCACATTTCTGAACCGGTAGCAAAGGTAAGTGCATGTCACCGCTGCTCTGTGCCCCCATGTGATGTAATATAGTTTAGTTTAGTTTAGTTTTATTTGATTTGTATACCGCCCTACTCCCGAAGGACTCAGGGCGGTGAACAGCCAAGCAATAAAATACATAAATACAAAAATTTAAAAAACCAGTTAAAATCAAATTAAATCATTTTGGCCCAGACAAATTAAAACACCCCAATAATTTAAGAACAGATTTAAAATTTATATATTAAAAGAGGGAGAATAGGCCAAGCCTGCTTGATGGAATAAAAGAGTCTTCACAGCGCGGCGGAAGGTGCGCAGATCCGGGATCCTCCGTATCTCTGGGGGGAGCTCATTCCAGACGGTAGGTGCCCCCACAGAGAAGGCTCTCCCCCTAGGGGTCGCCAGCCGACATTGTTTGGCTGACGGCACCCGGAGGAGTCCCTCTCTATGAGAGCGTACTGGCCGGTGGGAGGCTATTGGTGGTAGTAGGCGGTCCCGTAGATAACCAGGTCCTAAGCCATGGAGCGCTTTAAAGGTGGTAACCAAAACCTTGAAGCGCACCCGGAAGACCACCGGGAGCCAGTGCAGCTCGCGCAGGAGAGGTGTCACATGGGAGCGCCATGACCCTCCCATTACCACCCGCGCGGCCGCACTCTGCGCCAGTTGGAGCCTCCGGGTGCTCCTCAAGGGGAGCCCCATGTAGAGAGCATTACAATAGTCCAGGCGGGAGCTGACGAGGGCATGAGTGACCATGCGTAACGAGTCCCGATCCAGAAAGTAATCAATCAATTAATCTGCCCTTTTACATTGCAAATAATGCTCATTTTTAAAGAGAACTAAAACATCATGAATTCTGCTTTATATCAGTTATGCAGATCTAAAAATGTAACCCAACATGCATCCCATTTTAAAATAAAGCCAATGCGATCAAATATGACCAACTTTTGGGAAGGAACATTTTAATAATAGCCACAAGAGATAGTGCAACCATCAGCATGATTGGTGACATTTATTTGAACAATTAGTGCTATTTCACAATTAGGCTTCAACTGGTGTAGAGTGCAGTGGCACGGGCAGTTCTTGGGGTCCCTAGGGTGCATCATGTTACACCACTGATCCGTGATCTCCCCTGGATGCCAATTTGTTTCTGGGTGCAATTCAAGGTTTTGGTTATTACTTTTAAAGCCCTGCGTGGTATGGGCCCAGATTACTTAAGGAACTATCTCATCCACTGGGAATGGTCCACCCCACCCACACTGGCAGAGGAGGCATGCTGCAGGTCCCATCGGTCAAGGAATTTCAGCTGGTGGGGTCCAGGAGAAGGGCCTTCTTTGCCATGGCTCCTGTCCTTTGGAACATCTTACCCCAAGGTGAGATTGGCTCCTACTTTTTTGTCTTTCTGCAGGAGTCTGAAGACCTGGCTCTGCCATATGGCTTGGGACCCTAACAGAAGAGCATCACTTGGGAGGTGATGGTTGAATTAAGAGGCAATTCAAAAGGCCCGTTCTTTCCCTCCCCATCTTTTAACTATATTTTATCTTGTTTGGGATTTCTATTTTTCTTGTTTTAAAGATATTTGTTAGTATTTTAATGCTGGAAACCAAACAGAGTCATATCCTTACAATATGGATAGCAAATAAATTCAATTAATATAAATTACATTTATTTAATTAATTTTAAAGTCCACTCACCTATCTTTATTAAGAGTTTTATCTTCAGTGACCATAGCCATAATTGCCATTCTGTACATGTGATCTGAGACACTTTCTGGATTGTTTACCTTTCTGTATACCCAGCCAGTCCGGGGTACTCTCTGGTTTCAAAAAAGGAAAAAGAAAACCCAGATCGAGAATTAGACCTATGCTCCAGGTAGGATGTTCATCTATTGTACCACATAAACATTTTTTTAAAAATATTTACTGATAATTTTTTTTCAGTAAATATTTAGTATTTATTTTAAATATTCAGTAAAAAAAAAGGACTCAGTCAGGTTGTTTTCAATATCATACAAGTACAATTAGATGAAACCTGGCTCAAAAACAGTAACTGTGAGAGGGACCTTAGAGTCCTAGTGGATGACCACTTAAATAAGAGCTAGCAGTGTGCAGCAGCAGTCAAAAAGCCAATACAATCCTTACTTCTTCTTTTTTTAAAATTTGATTTATATGCCGCCCTTCCCCGGAGACTCAGGGTGGCTTACAATGCCTTAAGCAATAGCCTTCATCCTTTTGTATATTTATACAAAGTCACCTTATTGCCCCCACAAACTGGGTCCTCAATTTACCTACCTTAGAAAGGATGGAAGGCTGAGTCAACCTTGAGCCTGGCAAGATTCGAACTTACTAATTGCAGACAGCTGGAGTTAAATTACAATGCATTAGTCTGCTGAGCTATCCAGGCTCCTGTCTATCCAGGCTCCTTGTATAAACAGAGGCATAGAATCAAAACCATGTGAAGTATTAGTACTGTATATTAAACTTTAGTAAGCCACACCTGGAATACTGCATCTAGTTTTGGTTACCACATTACAAAAAAAATGTTGAGACTTTGGAAAAAGTGCAAAGAAGAGCAACTAAGATGATTAAAGGCCTGGAGACTAAAACATATGAAGAACGGTTGGAGGATTTGGGTTTGGCTAGTCTACAGAAAAGAAGGACTAAGGAGTGACATGATAGCAATATTGGATGGAAACTATTCAAGGAAAGAAGCAACCTGGAACTGAGGAGAAACTTCCTAACAGTGAGGACAATGATCCAATGGAATAGCTTGCCTTCAGAAGTTATGGGTGCTTTATCACTGGAGGTTTTTAAGAAGAGACTGGACAGTCACTTGTCTTGAAATGGTATAAGATCTCCTGCTTGAGCAGAGAACTGGATTAGAAGACCTCCAAGGTCCCTTCCAATCAGCTCTATTCTAACTGATTGATTGATTTGGCAACTTCATAAAAATATCTATGCAGGTGTTTTTTTTCCCTACAGCGGTATTTATTTATTCAATTCATATAGCTGCAATCTCACAATAGCAACGCTGGGTAACTTTAAAAAAAAACGGGTAACTTTTAAAAACGTAACTTTTACAAACAATGCAATCACAAAATATAAACCATAAGCAGCTGAGGTATCCAAGCAGCCTATAAAAAGATAATAATAATCACATCATCCATGGGATCTAAGTAACACATTATTATTATTATTATTATTATTATTATTATTATTATTATTATTATTATTATTATTATTATTATTCATTGAATTTCTATACCGCCCTTCTCCCGAAGGACTCAGGGTGGTGAACAGAATAAGATTTCATATACATATAATGTTTTTTATTTTTTTTTTATAAACAGTAAATAATAAATTGAGTCAACTTGGTGTATCTGCTAAGAACCTTGGCATAGAATTTAGATGTTTATGCTAGCCCTGCTTGTTGAAAACAGAAAGGTCTTCAGGGCACGTCGGAAAGTGCGAAGATCTGGGATTATTATTACTCTAACCCTCATGCCCAGAACCCATTCATGTCAAAACTCCCTTTAAATACACAAGTGGCTTGTGCCAGCTCATACACTGCCGGCCTCCTGGAAAATTATGTTTTTGAATGAATTAGATCAGTGTTTCTCAACCTTGGAAGCTTGAAGATGGATGGACTTCAACTCCCAGAATCCCCCAGCCAGCTCTGCTGGCTGGGGGATTCTGGGAGTTGAAGTCCATCCATCTTCAAGCTACCAAGGTTGAGAAACACTGAATTAGATTCATGGGAAGAGCCAGGTTCAAATCCATCACCAGCCAGCCATGGAAATTCAACCGAGTGTGGGCAAGGCCCGTTATATGTCTCTCAGCCGCCCTAATCTGTCATACAAAAGTGGCCATAGGGGGAAAAAACTAGATTAGAGCCTATCGGCGAACAGCAGTTCGAGCGAGCAGATCAAAAAAGCGGAATGACAGTTATCTTTGCTCTCTTTCTTCGTTTTAATTGGCTTTAGGGCCGTTTCCCAGCCGCTCAGAGTGGCTGGGAAAAGCCAGGCGAATCGGATGAATAAATTTAAATCTAAAGCCGAAATGAAAACGTATTTCGTGCGCTTTGGATCCCCAACGACTCGCCTTCCAACAAGCCCCCGGATAAGCCGGGGAAGCTCGGGTCGCCTTGGCTGGGATCGCAGCCTTGTAACGCCCGCCCCGGAGGCACCGCTTATCGTGCTCATCCTACGCCCCAAAAACCCGGCTTCGGGTTCACGAAGATCGGAGACTGGGCTTCCGAAAGGAGCCGGGATGAGCGAGCCAGGTCCGCGGAGGGACCGGCAACCCAAGCCTGCTAAAATCCACACACAATCCCCCACCCCGCCCCGCTCGTCGCCCGGATTTCCCACCTTCAGCTGCCCCACCAACTTCAGAAACTGCAGCAAATTCCCCATCGCGTCGGCGACAACAACGTCGACGCCCGAATTCAACAACCGCCGCCAAGCAGCCGAGAAAGAGGCGGGATCCGCTCAGTCCGTTTAGGCGGGACTTCCGGCCGCCTGCTCCAATCCGCTGGCCGCTGACCAACCCTCGATTGCTTTGACTCCGCCTTCTCCTTCGTCAACGAACGTTGCTCGCGGGAGGCCCGTTTCCTTTATTGTACGCGCTACGTGCGTTGCGTACATAACGGCAACGTAGTAAAAAAAAAAAAAAAAAACCCTGCAGGAAGAAATCCCAAGGGTGTTTTTTTTTTTCAGGAGGCAACTGGGCTTTCTTGGTTTTTTGATTTTTTTTTTGCTTCTCATCCAAGAAGCTTCTTCAGCTCTGACAGGATAGTGGGGAATGGAAGGATTTCTATTCCTCGCAGACAGCTGGTCATTTGCATCCTATTCAGAGCAGGGCTCTCCAACCTTGGCAACTTTAAGACTTGTGGACTTCAACTCCCAGAATTCCTCAGTCTGGCTGAGGAATTCTGGGAGTTGAAGTCCACAAGTCTTAAAGCGGCCAAGGTTGGAGAGCCCTGTTTTAGAGGGTTGTTGAAGCACTTGGAGGTTTATCGGTGTCCTCAGGGTCGCCTGAGTAGTACTAGCTCCTGGTTCCTGTAGTCTGCAAGTTTTTTCTCTGGAAATCCATTCCTACTCCTACACCATTCAAAGGGTGTTCATCCCAAATTGTATAGCTAAAAGTGTAAGCTGACCCTGAGGACACAGATAAACCTCCAAGTGCTTCAATGACCCTCTAAAAACATGCAAATGACCAGCTGTCTGCGAGGAATATAAACCCTTCCATTCTCCACCATCCAGTCAGAGCTGAAGAAGCTTCTTGGATGAGAAGTGAAACGTTTTCAAAGAAAAAACCAAAAAAGTCCAGTTGCCTCCTGAAAAAGCACCTTTGGGACAACCATGACCTGGATGACTGAGAATCTCTACAGACTATTGCAGGAGGAAATATTTTCAGGGTCCTCAAATTTGTGTTAAAACTAGAAAGTGTGGATTGCTTAGCTGCCGTTTATGGAAAAACCACAAGCAACTGCATTTAGGCAACATACTAGGTCAGTGATGGCTAACCTTTTCTGGACTGAATGCCCAAAGTGCGTGTGCGTGAGAATGCGCATGCACACACCAAACCCCCAAAATGCAATGTGTGTGTGGCCCCCCTGCATGTGCCCCCACATGCATGCGCCCCCAGCATGCTCCCACCATGTATGCGCAGCAGACCCCCACATGTGCCCTCCCCATGCATGCACGTGTGTTCTGGCATGCGCATGCTCCTCCACGCATGCACATGCACCCCTGCGCATGCACATGCAGCCCCCTGCATGCCCCATGCCTCCCACTCATGTGCGGCAGAGACTCAAAGACCAGCTGGTCGACAGGAGGCATGCGCGCATGTGCAGCGGAGCTGAACTGGGGCGATGACTCGCTTGCCCAGAGAAAGCGCTGCCATAGGTTTGCAATCACGGTACTAGGTGGTAAAGAGAGTCAGTTTGGTGTAGTGGTTAAGGAATTGGGCTAAAAAATGAAAAACCTTGAGTTTTAAGACAGCTTTAGGCTGGGTGACGTTGGGCCAGTCATTTTCTTCTCAGCCTTAGGAAGCAGGCAATGGCAATCATTTCTGAAAACAATCTTGCCAAAATAAACTTATCCAGAAAGTTGTCAGGAGTCAAAAATTAGCTCGAAGTCACAAAGCACACACAGGCCATGATGAACAATTTCAGACCAATTCCTCAGTTTACAAGACACAGTAAACCACCAAACTACAGTCACAAAAAATTTCCATCTTTCCACCTTGTAGTGGTGATTAAAAATGGGAAGTTGCATTTTTTTCAATCTTACAACTTAGAATAACTTTATTGTCACTTTGAATGTACACTAATCGGCATTAAAATGAAATTTCATTGCATACAGATCTCAAAGGGTCACCACCCCCAATATACATGACATAAACATGCAAAACAAACAAATACAAAATTATGCATATACCCACATATATTATATGACACAGAGAAACAACACAAGCTTCTCTGAAGTTCCTCTCAACTGCAGAATTATATGCATGTTGATTTTGAAGAAGCCTACTTCTGGGGTGAAGAGTAATGATTCAACTCATTTTCCAACATCCTTGGTGCTAGGAGATGGAATCCAATATTTGGATAGTTGCAATAAGAAAGAATCATGCAACACTTTAAAAGAATCAGGATTTTACTCTGCTATAAGCATTTGTCAATTCTAGTTGGCTGATTGGTAGTTATTCAGCAAAACAAGATTATAGTTGATTCAGGATCTTTTCCCAGCTTCCAATACCATCAGCCATGGATTAGCATTGGATTTGGGGGTTAGGAGTTGGCAATGTCCTGCAATTATATTTCTTCCTCTGTGGCTGGTTCCAACTGGAGACCTAGGTTCCTCCTGTGTCGGTGGCATACTTGCCTTGATACGAAAAGGGTCAATTCTGCCAGCAGTACGTGTCGTTGGATATTTGGTTGTGGGAATGGAAACTTGGCCATCTATCATTGAAGGGCTTCTGCAAATATTAGCAAGCTTATGTGAACCAAATGATCCTCTGGGCTGGAGAAATGAACCTACTGAACCCTACCGATGCAATACTCTGCCAGAGAGATTCGTTTATGAAATCCCATAGACATCCGCCTAAGGGTTTGTGTGCATAATTCCCCATATTAAAGATTCTCTGATACAGGAAAAGGACATTATTACTGTATGTTTCCCTCTCAAAAGGGAAAGATATCATCTATGGATACGATAGAATAGCAAAGAGGGGGAGGATTTTGAGGTCTTGTACTAGCAAAGATTGCAGAATTGGGGGAAAGCGCCGTGAGAAGAACATATCCGATTTTGCAAGGCAAAATGTGTAAGGAAAATAGGAGGAAATCATTTTAGTTGTACCAAAAGATGAGCTGAGATATTGAATCCGCTCTTTTGTGAATCCTCCATAGCAGACAGCGCTCACATGTAGTCACCCATCCAGATAGAAACCAAAGCCTTTCCAGCTTAGCAACTGGGACATAGTATGCTTGCTGCCAGAGAGCTACAGATAGAACTAGGGGAGGAGTCTTGCTTTTACCTCTTTCACTCAATTACAACTGCAATTTCGCTTCCTCCATTCTGATTGGAGCTTTACAATCAATTCCTTCTGCTTGTGATTTCAATTCAGTACCCTGTTTCACTCCACTTCGCCTCCTCAAGCTACCTGCATTTACCCACATCCAACAATTTCACAACAAAAGCAACAGCCGCCACCCACCCAACCTCCCACCCGCATGCCCACAAACAACCACTCACACTGCCACCTAAACTACCTTTCTCTTAGCAAACAAAGTGCAGCCACAACTTGCCATTGCCCAAATAGAAAACACAACCTTCTACACTTCCACCTCCTTTTCCCCCCCTCTTACCTTGGTCTCAAATACAGCAAGACTCCACCTGCCCTCTAGCCTGCCCCACTCCCTTGCACCGAAGGGCAGCAGCAAGGAGGAAAAACAGCAAGGCACCCCCTCACCTCCACCAAATTAATTGCCGCCCCTGTGCCAAAAAACCTTGCCCCTTTTTGTAGAGAAAACAGCACAGATGCTCCCTCACCTCCACAAACTTCAAATTAATTGCTCCCCCTCCCCCGTGCCAAAAAGGGTTGCCCCTTTTTGTAGAGAATCCATAGCACACAGCATACGCGAGCAGCCGCCCTTCCAAACTGTGGCCGAAGCGTTACCAGCTTCGTCAGCAGACATGCCACACTCTGCTGCTTAGGAGCTATAGAAAGAGCCAGTGTTGCTGCTCTCTCTTTAGCTATTTCATGAAAATCATTTTATGAAATCATTTTATTGTTTCTTCCCCTGCATTTTTTCATCTTCCAAGTATTTCATGTCCAGAAAAACAGGCTTTGTTTTAATAACATGATCAAGCCACAAACACTTCTTAAACTACCACAAATTTACAAATAATAGTAGAACGACTATGACAAAAGAAAGCAAATACTGTATAGTACTGATCATAATAGGTGTGTTCAGTGCCACCCCAAAACAACTGGAGCACCACCTGAATACCATCTGCCTTGACAAAATTAAGATCAGTCAATTGTAAAAGGCAGCTTTGCTTTGAATAGCTTACGCTTTGTGACGATTCCTTTAAAAACTACTAAACAATATCTGCCTATCCAAAATCCTTGGGAAGGTCTTGATAGGTGGATAAAAATGCCAAGTGCGGTTTGAACGTATGGCTGATTGTGCAAATAACCATAACAATGAATTAATATGCTATAATAATTATCCCAGTTACCTCAATCAAACATGCAGGATTAATATCAATAGATTCATTAGTTAGTGTATACTGGTATCATTTGGATTCTTCACTGTCCAGATCTTTGCAATGCTGACTGTCAAATTCTGGGAGTTGAAGTCCACCCACTTTAAACTTTCTGAGGTTGAGAAGCATTGAAATAATATATTGGAAAGTAAAGATAAAGATCAAAGATATGATGCTGAATTACGGTCTGCAATTAATAAATGTATGAATGTATTTCAGTATGTGTTACTATTTTTCTATTCTCTTTTTTTCCAACAATAGGTGACATCATTGAAGGACATTTTTAATTTTTTCTATCCATTATACAGCCGGTTTATTTGTTCATTTATTTAACAAATTTATATAGTCACCCAATCACAGATAGGTGACTCTGGATGACTTACAACATTAAAAACACCCACAACATAAAACCCCATTAAAAATTCCACCCCAGCGGCAACAGATCAAATCAACCACATTTAGTTTCGTATTTCGTTTGCTTGTTTGTTACTTTGTTGTTGTTGTTGTTGCTGCAGTGGATTGTGAGGCTTGTTTGAAAAAAATGCAATTTTCCATTGTGCAACATGTGCATAATGATGGAGAACCTCTGCTCCAGAGAAGCTCTTGTACTCTGAGGGAAGCCCCATCAGGCTCTCAGGGAACCTCTTGGCCTTCCAGAACAAAGGTTGGATTGACACTGGGCTGAGGAAAGTGGTACAGTTTGGGAGTTTTGAACTCTGGATTTTATAGTTCCACTGGGAGTTTCATCTTC